ACCGACATTGAAATTGGAGTTGAGAATAATCGGGGTCCAATAGGTTTTAACATGTTCCAGCAATAAGTATGAATTATCTACAGGTTTGGGATACCCAAAGTTGAATTATACCATTTACTTTTTTTAAAAAAAAAAAGCTTTATTACTGCGATATTCTGAACAAAAAAAAAGATCAAATGGCAAGGAAGGTGCCTTCAAAAGCCCTCGTCATCATGGTATACTGGCATACACTTCTTAGTAAGTAGCACTCATTCTTAAATTGGCATGTTCCAAGCAGAATAGCCCAGAATCCTTGGAAATTGGATTGTTGATGGTTCTTCTCGCTTTTCTGAGTTGCCTTAAAAAAACTTCGAGTGATGATGAATGACCCTCTAAATCTACTTCACAATGGAAAATCCCCCCTGTTCTATACATATGCAGGTGATTTTTCTGCCAACAAAAACAATGGAAAACGATCCGGGCAATCTGCCTGCCTCACTAAACTGGGTGGCCTCAGCATACTTCTTCTCAGTGGTAAAACTATCCGAGCAGCGGCCAAGAACCCAGAAATTCCTGCAACTGAAAACGTTCGGACGTTTTGTAGTCCATTTTGACATATTTTGACTACTCGTTACTCAAATATGTAGCACCAGTTGATAAAGCCCCGTGTTGGTTCGGACCGACATTGGGATGGCCGCTACTCATCCTAGACTCTTACAGAGCTCTGCGACGGTGACCAAGGGAGTTGCTTTGCAAACGGTGGCCAATAATTCTCCGTCAGGCAAGACAAGCTGAAGACTTTGAAGACTAATATGTAACTTCTCTGCGATACGCTTTTTGGCGTCTAATGCCAAATCAGACCCCTGCGCCTTCAAGCGCAACACTTCTTGTCCGGCCAAATCCAAGCATGTCAGAATCACTTCATTCTCATCAGAAACGAAATCCAGTTGCAAGACACGGTCTCTCCAATGAAACGTACGGTCCTCGACATAAAAAGTCCCAGGCTCTGGACTTGGGATGCTACATTGTCCATGCTGATTCAATCCGCATGCATAGGCACTGCCATCTGTTCGCAGAAGCACGGCATGGTCCACGCCTGCAGAGACCTGAACCACGGGATTGGCGCCATGTCCCCACCAGTCTTCCATGTTCTGGAAAATTAAGCGTAGAGGCTAAAATAATTCCAAGCAGATTTCCTCAATGGATGAACCATGATTAACCAACAAGAAAATAGAAAACAAAGACTTTACTTGGAGGATCATCCCACTTAGCAAGTGGTTAAGCCTGGTTAGTAAGTTATCTAAGTGGCTTAGCCAGGCTTAGCCCATAAATGGGTGAACCAATCAACTAATCCCAGTTACCAGTGATAAGTCATTGTGTGGTGATCCTCCCCCGTTGGATCCGCAACGGCCAACCCCAAAGGGCCCTCCGGCCTGGACGTATGTCACTCCATCCTCCGTTTTGTCGCTTGGGTACATGATCACCTTGCCATCGCTTCGGAGAAGTAGCGGCCACTGGTTCCAACCGGCAGAGACCTGGACGTAGGGCAGTCCGTCTTCCACGGGCGGAAGGTCGTAGCGCAGATATCCGCAGGCCACGACCTGGCCATCACTTCGGAGCAGCATTGTTTGGTCCTCGCCTGCGGAAACTTGGGTGTAGGAGATTCCTTCTTCCAGAGGAGGAATGCTGCATTGTCCATTCTGATTTTTACCACACGCAACGACCTGGCCATCACTTCTTAGAAGCACGGTATGACCAGAGCTTGCAGAAACCTGGGTGTATGTCCCACCTCGGTCCAACGGTGGAATGTTGCATTGTCCACAATAATTCCTTCCACAAGCCACTGCACGCCCATCCTTTCGCAGCAGTACTGTGTGAAAGCCGCCAGCAGACACCTGCGTGTATGTCCCAGGTGGAATGTTGCATTGCCTATTGTTATTCAATCCGCAAGCTACAACACTGCCATCACTACGGAGAAGCACTGTATGATAAAGGCCTGCAGAAACCTGAGTGTAAGAGAGTCCTTTGTCCAAAGGTGGAATATCACATTGCCCATTCTCATTCAATCCGCGAGCCACAACAGTGCCATCACTTCGGAGAAGCACGGTGTAACCTCCACCTGCAGAGTTCATTGGAGCTGGGCTGAGAACACTTTGGACAGGTTGAATCACCGCTTGGGACCGAAAGCCGCAGATGTGAGATCTCCAACTGGGCGTCGTTGCGCCACGAAAATATTGAAAACAAAGTACCCTAAAGTATGGGTCATCATCACCTGTCCAAATTTATTCCAAGTTTGCCAGTCATAATTTCAAGGATCCCCAATTTTTGGACAGGCCCATATCCTTCCAATGTTTGCCATCCTTCAGCTGCTATCGTTTGCCATCAACGTGGGGGCTCTAACGAATGGGATGGTCATCAAATTACCATGGGAAATGGTGAGAATAGCTGGAACCATTTCTGGAAGATCCTCATACATCCATGTGTGTGCTTATATATTTATGTTCCCAAAATGGGGTACAGATCTGAATGAAAAGCCGCAGATTCTGAATTTTTAGTATCAACGATCCAATTCTAGGGCACATTCATATGTTCTCTGAAAATATGGTATCCCCCATTTCCAAATATTTCCAATGGATTGTCATCATGATCATCCCGATTGAGCAGCCATAACCCAACAAGCCAATTGATACTTGGAAGATCCATCCGTCCTTCTTTGCCTCAACATTGGAGGACGAAAAGAAGTCAGCCTGCAACGCTTTGGTCACTGGAATGGTGGATGAATCCAAGATATCCAAGCCTCTGGCAAAATGGTCCATTTCTAGGGGATAAAAATGATGATTTACCTATCAAACATCGTGATTTGCCAGTTCGCTATGTGAAATCACCAAACGCTAGTCCCGCTCGTCTTAAAATCTGTTGAACAGTCGTAGATTGTTGTTGCTTGCATGGCAACACCGGAGGATCCCAAAAAATTGGACGGCTAAAGACCAGTCTGCCGTCTCCTAGGCCTTAAATTTTGATCCACACCTATACACTACGTACAGTATGTACAATCCAGAGGATTTTAATCCCATTATATTCGCATAATCCCCCTTGAATCACCAGTATAACCCTAGTCCCCCCCTATATCCCATTATATATCCAGATTCTCAGATTTGTATATATATATATGTATATATATATATTTTGTTTATCTATCTATTTGTGTCTGTGTGTTTGTCGACCCAATACAGCCCATGATAAAACGGCACCTTCCAGCTCGATGTCTGAATTTCAGTAGGACAAACATCTAGATATACCCCTGAAATACGATTTATCAGTGGAATGGTCATGGGCATGTTTAGACTACAGTACTTAGGGAACATGATTCGTCAGATCATATTCCTGAAAATTGTCATCAATATCCTTCATGATAAAATGGACGTCAGTAGAATTCATCTACAAATGACACAGCAAGCCGAAACGGAATACTCGAGGATACATTATTTGAATTGTCCCCAAAAATGTGCCACATTCTGCTTCCATCCACCAAAGGACTCAAACAAAAGGGAACAAATACTAACATGTTGCAGGAAGGGGCCCCCAAACGAAAGTTTTCATTTGGTTTATTCTACTAGGCCAACGATCGGACCTCTGGTGAGTGTATCTGTACTTGGGGTAACAGAGACCCACAACCGAAGCTGGTCACCCTCACTTTGTAGACTTTGAATCTACCCAAACAAGTCGGTGTTTTATCTCAACGGTACTTGGTTCTGTGCCATTTCAATGGGAAATTATAGATATCAGACACTAAGAGATTCAGATATTCTATACACTACATGTATATGATACATAAATATACATACATCTTATACATACATACATACATATATATATATATATATATGCATACATGTATTTATATATATACTATGTATATTCCATGTATATTCTATAATTAAGTATATTACCACACCTAGATTCTAAGTCCTGACATAGAAAAAAACACGCGACCACCGTTCGGGGGCCTCGATGCCAGCCTTGCCCGACTCTCTTCTCAACTCCCCAGCATTGAAGCTGCGGACGCGAACGCCCAGGAGTTTTAGATGCCTCCACGCTGAAAGCTCGGGATTTGTCAAGCAAAACGGTGATTCCAGCAGCAAAAATATTCACTTCACCATCAAAAGTATGGATGGACTTAGCGTGAGTTGATCTAATCAAAAATGTGGATTTCCAAAAGTGTGGAGTTCGCAGGAACGTTCCAAGTTCACGAGGATATGCACCCTATGGAAATATCCGAAAATGGGATTGGAACCAAAACAAGAGTGCACCAAGATGGAGGATTTCATACTTCGCTGCCGTGCCAAAAAATATATATGCGTTCGATCATATTGTCCCCGTGATGCTCCAAATATCAAAAAATGATCGACCAAACCCATGTCTCCGCCGATTTAATTGAATCTACCAGATAAGTTTAACCACCAAGATGAAAGAATTTGAACAAAAGAGAGGTTGCATTTCGCCAACACATTTGCCCGATTGAACCAAGGTCGATTTGTTTATCTGGTCAACAAGAGGTGGATTTTGGATCAGAAAGATGAGGGCATGTTACTGTCATGCAAAAACGCAGTGTACAGCTGATGAACAGCAGTGGGGATATCTACTTTGTCTCTTCCAGTAATGAGGTAAACCATGGTAAAGCCAATGTCACCATCCCCAATTCGGCTTCATTGGCTTGGAGGATCATCCCAGGGCCTCACCACTGCGCCACAAATGAAGGACTTGCCACGGGCAGGAAGACCCACCAGCACCAAGACCACAGCTTCGCATGAAACCACCTGGCCATCGACCCAGGACCCAGGGCTAACCTCCTCTGGGACGAGTTATCCAAACTTCAAATGGTCAGAAATCTTCCGTGGAACCTCCAAAAACGCTTCACTTTCAATACGAAACCCATCTTCCAAGCTACGTCAAATACCAGCTTAACTGCTTAATAAGGTATCAAATCAAGTCGATGTCTGAAGGAAGCAATGATGCTGACTTTTTCCTCTGCGCGCTGTCGTGCCAATTTTCTGCACGTGCCACAGCTGTGCCGTATCTTTTGATGTTCGCATATGTTTCTGCCACCGCAAAGCTTGCAATAGCGGCTTTCTCGCATGTGGTGGCAAAAGTTGAGAAAATCATATCGGTCAAGCTTTGAGGGTACACCCGAGGCAGGAATCCAGGGACTTGTGTTTCCCAGCCTCTTCTTGCACGCATAGTGCCCTTTTTCAGGAACCAAAACATGGACTTGTCCAGTGCCCGGGTGTCGGAAAAACCAGCTGCTGGATATGGTCGCTGGGCAGGAGCTGCACTGCAACTGAATAGCATTGTCTCCTTGGAAAACTGTGGGGAAGCCTGTCAACAGGGCCGTGCTTACAAATCTAGTATGTAGATGCCAGAAGACCCTTGAAACCTGCACAAAACATGGCAATGCTGAAGCAGATTTTTTGGCCGCCCTGCCTTTCACCCTCTTGTTTGGATGATATGCACCATCCAAAACTCCACTGCAGTCAGCACGTGGTACGCGCTTCTGGCGCCCTGATGTCTTCGTATCATCTTCCCGGAGATTCCCGCCCCGGATGAGTGAGGCAAGCTGTCGCCATTGCCGCGTGGCCGCAGTGGGAGAAACAAGATCAACTTGGTCAAGTAAGCCCTGGATGAAGGACAAGGCGCTCTCCAGGCAGTTCAGAGTGTTTTCATCCTGCAAATCAATGTTTTGCAGGGCCGTGATCAGAACACCACGAATTCGCTTCTGCAATTGCGAGCCCTTCTGTCCTGGGGTAAACTGACTGGAAAGGAAAAACAAACAAAAACACCCGGTTTTCACATCCCTTGATCAATGCGCTTGGGTCTTCCAAAACAGGATCAAACAGAAACACAGCCTCGAAGCCCCCAACCCTGGCACGGAGTGAACCTGCCCAGAAAACTGAACCAACCATCAATCAACATTTGGGTCTGTCTGAATCTAATAATGGCTACCTCATCATTTTCCCTCTTAATATGGCCATTTTGGACGGTATACCCGTTTGTCCATTTTGATGACCAGCATCCACTGTCATCCTTAGCTTCCACAGGCCCCGAATCTTGCGCGGCTGCATGTGCTACTGGACGATGAAGCCAGGCTGCCACGCGACGAACCAGGCGGCAAAGCCGATCGCCGGCAACGCCTTCCAAGCCGTCGTCCTCGGGGAGGGGGCAGAATCTCCTGTTGAAAACCCGGTCAAACGTGGTTAGCTGCGAAAATCCCCAAAAGAGGTTTCAATGAACACGAGAATTATGCAAAAATCCATGTCGCAACAGTTGCACGGTTCTCATGTTGAACAAGCGTCCTCCAATAGTCTGTGCAGCTCCACTTCAGCCTGGTCAATCCACTTGAGCTGTTCTTCCACAGTGGCATTGTGGAACCGTCCAATCTCCCGCTGCAGCCGTTTGGAGTGCCGCAAGGCACCAGGTTTCGACCCCATCGCCGCAACGCTGCCGGTCCTGCTGATCGGTTCCATGACCGCTTCCTTCTTGACCGCAAGGATGGTGATTTCCACCGCAGCTCCATCCCGAACGAAAAATGCCACTGCTTGGCCGATTCTCAAACATGGCCCAGTGCGGAACTGGATCGTGACCCTCCCATTCTCGGACTGGTATGCCACTAAGCCGCCTCCATGATAGTGGAGCTGGCACACATGCCCATGGCAAGGCCCGTGATTGGAACGACTCGAGCCGGACACGGCCATCTCTCTAGTGCCAGTGGATGAAGTACCCCATTGCCCCTGATTCGGAAGCACCGGTGACCTGATCACCGAGAAAAGGTCCGAGCCGAAATGGCAGGTGAATGTGAATGTCTAGAAACAGAGGGGGCCAGCTGTTGGTTTCCGGACCAAAAAGACTTCTATTGACTATTGATTGAATTCACAGGTGTTTGGGGGATGCCAACTTTGAAACACCGTCTTTAGAGGTGTGCCCCGGAGCTATTAACTTAACTTAACAAAGATGAGAGAGACATCTTCTCAACCTGCACCTCAGTCAGGGAGAACATGAAAGTTTTGGACATGATTTTCCGAGCGGAAATTGAGGTTCTTTTGTTCTATGGGTTTTTGATTTCCAAGTTGCTAATCTTCTAAGATCTTCTAAGCAGAGATCTTGAAAGGCCTGAAGATGTATCAAACCAAGAGCCCAAACAGGAGGAAAACCGAGGAGGAAAACCGCACGCCCAATTTTTTGGCAAACCATGACAATGCACATCGTCCCAAGGATTTCACAAGGGAAAATAATGGAGAATGAAGTAGGAAGACAAGTGACTTGAAATCGTCAATCCGCAGCCGAAGGAAACGATCATGGAGGGTAAATTCCATGATTTGATGGGATTTAATCCCCATTTTCCTGATCTCACTATTTACCATTGAACATAACTATGGAAAATGGCCCATGTAAGATAGAAATTATGGACTAGAAATTGTGATTTTCCATTTCGCTATGTGATTACCAAAGCGTATGCCACAAATCCACTTGTAAATCACATTTTTCCTCATTGTTTGATGGTTATTTGATGCTTGAATCCCAATTTTTGATGGTTAAGTCCCAGTTTGACGCTTAAATCCCAATTTTTGATGATTAAATCTCAATTTTTGACGGCTACATCCCAATTTTTGATGGTTAGATCCCAATTTTTGACGGCTACATCCCAATTTTTGATGGTTAGATCCCAATTTTTGATGGTTAAATCCCGATTTTTGATGGTTAAATCTCAATTTTCGATGGCTACATTCCAATTTTTGATGCTTGAATCCTAATTTTTGACGGTCAAACCCTAATTTTTGATGGTTAAATCCCAATTTTTGATGCTTGAATCCCAATTTGTGATGCTTAAATCCTAACGTTTGATGGTTAAATCCTAATTTTTGATGCTGGAATCCTAACTTTGGATGGTTAAATCCCAATTTTTGATGGTTAAACCCCAATTTTTGATGGTTAAATCCTAATTTTTGATGCTTGCATCCCCAATTTTCCCAAGCTATATACCCCCATTGTTGGGATTGATCGCCAGCACCTGCGGATCTGCTGTCTTCTCCATCCACTCAGACATGGCAGCCAGCGGCTCCTCCTGCGGTGCGCCAAATGGCTGCGAGGGACTCTGAGAATTTACAGATCATGGAGAGGCGTACAATTGTATTGTATTGTATTGTACTGTATTGTATGTATGTATGTATTTATGTATGTATGTATGTATGCATGTATATATATATATGTATATATATATATACGAAAATATATACATATATGTATATATACATATATTAGGCCTAATGGAAATTTGAAATAATGGGAGCTGGAGATGTATAATATAGATATATATATATATATCTGTCTCTCTGTGTGTCTGGTCTATATATTACACAAATGACTCGGAAATGTGGGATTTGACCAACAAAAATCTGCAGGTTTACCGAACATGATATGGGGATACAAAATGGATACTGAGAACATGATGGAATGAACCAGAATGGGAAATAGCAGGATACATATGTATATGTATATGTTTATGTATATGTATATGTCTGTCTGTCTGTCTGTCTGTCTGTCTGTCTGTCTGTATGCATGCATGTATGTATGTATTAATGTAGTGTAATGTAATGTAATGTAATGTAATGTAATGTATGCATGCATGCATGTATGTATGTATGTATGGTAATGTAGTGTAAGGTAATGTAAGGTAATGTAAGGTAATGTAATGTAATGTAGTGTAATGTGTACATGTACGTGCATGTATGTATGTGTATGTATGTATGTGTATGTATGTATGTATGTATGTGTATGTATGCATGTGTATGTATGAGTATGTACGTGTATGTATGTACATGTATGTGTGTATATATATATAAATATATGTGTATATTATAGTTTATATGTATATATAAATATATATGTATGTATGTAAATAAATATACTGTATGTAAATATATTTATATGTATATATGTATATTTACATTAATACAAAAGTATTTATTTTTGTATTTGTATATATACATATATGTATATTCTGCATGTATATATATATATTTGTATTTGCATATATATATATATATGTATATATAGATATGTAAATACATATACATATAAAAACATATGTATATATATTTACAAAACTATATAGACATATATATATGTACACATATATTTAATGTTCAAGCGTCTTCCATCAGTTCAACACTGGCAGCAGATGGTTGTCATCACCATGGGCGACCAGGCGCACTGCAATTGCCCTGATGGCTCATCCACAGGTGGTCTGATCACTTTCCTTGGAGGTCCTGAACTTCTTCAAGGAGATCCTGGTCCCATGAACATGATTGTGTGGAAGACTTGGAAGCTTCGACGAGTTGCCATCAGCTCCAACGATGCAGAAATCCAGGCAATGGTGGAGTCCGAAGACAACAATCTTCGGACTCGTCTTCTCTGGTCTGAATTATATGGAGCCAGCGTCGACAAAGACATCAATGATTTGATGCAGCATGCCGATCTTGCTGTATCATCAGTGTCAGGTATAATGGCAACCGACTCCAAAGGCGGTTTTGACGCAGTCACCTTGCAGGAAGGACCGTAGTTACCTAGGACTTTCAAATGTTCGAGCTGCAACTCAAGCCTTTCAATTGAAGCAGTCTTTCAACAGCGTAAAGACCCTGGTGATATGGTTAGCAGGTGATTGGCTCTTAGCAGATGCTTTGACGAAGAAGAGCCAAGACTCCCGTCGTAGTCTTTTGCAGTTTTTGAGCTCAGGCATGTGGATGCTCAAGTACAGTCCTGACTTCACTGTTTCAGCAAAGAAGTCTAAGAGCAAAGGCCTGGATGCAGTGTCACAAATTCAATCCATCACGGGCAAACGAGCTGAGAAGAACTTTGAGCCCATGCAACAGAATTGATTTCCACTGATCAGCTCGCTTGCCAGGTGATGCGACTGTCGTGGCCCTCTGGCCCAATCCCCTTCTTTTGCGTCTTGGATTAGGCCTTGAGCCTACCGGCAATGGATGGAAAAGCAGCAGCTGCGGCGTGCTGCTGAGCCTTTGGTAGGCTTGTGGATTTTAGGCATCAGTTGCCTTCCTTGTGATATTTGCAGCATTGAGATTCACTTCCTGTCTGGCACTTGGGACACATCACATGCCGTTACCAGTTGCATCATTGCACATATCCATAGATTCCCATCATGAATTGGGAAATTCGTGAGGTGTACAACCGTTGGATGGAAGAATTGGGTACTACGTTTTATCCCTCCCGCTGCCCAGTAAATGTATGGCAAGATTTTGATTGTTCGCCCCCGAATCATTGTAGAAACCTGCAATCCACTTCTGGGTTCTGAAACTGGGGCAATGCTCCGGAGATCTGGGGCCTTTTTTTGGACAAAACCAAAAAGGGCATGGGTCAAGTCATAAGAATGCCAATGGAAGCCAATGGAAGCCGATGGAAGCCAATGGAAGCCGATGGAAGCCAATGGAACCACTAAACCCTAATGAACTTTAGGATATTTTGGGACCTTGAACCATCCATTTTGCTGGAAGTCCAATCATGTTGACCCATGTTTGGGTGGACAGTGTGCATCCGACGTGCTGGACTATAACCAACAACTCAGAGGGAATATCTCACATATTCGGTTGCATAGCGAAGATTTCTCACCTCTGATTCAATCTATGTATGTGTAACCCAACAATGGAAAAGAATTCCTTATGATTAATAGGAGAATCGTGAAAATCATGGAAAATCTGGATACTTCTATGAACATGTTCTATTGTCTACTTTGGTACTCACGACAATCAAAAGATCGCCCATTTGCAGATTCACACGGATAAAAAGAACGTTGCCATTGCCATGGTCGGTAACTTTTTTTTCTCGGGACAGAGATCATCCAACTCGAGGTCTCTGCTACCTCCGCTCCTTTGTGGCAGACACAGCACGCAGCACCTTCCCAACAAACGAGGTTCCGTTCCTCGGTTGCTTCGAAGATGTTGGGCACCTCCATTGGATTTTTGTTGAATGGGTGATTCATAAAGGTGATAGCCCATTTCTGGAGAAACCATGACACAGCCCCTGAAACTCGGATGTTTCATCGGGATGTTGTTTGTTTACTGGTACACAAGAGTAACCAGCCTAACCAGCAAGAACATTGCGCCAAGAACATGGTGAGGTGTTCCAGGATTCCAGTCTGAAATAGACCAGAAAGTTCCTAGGCACACAAAGGTCCTTCTTGCAGGATGCTTCTCCAAAAAAAACATGTTCATTGGGAAGATGATTTTTTTAAGCAAACAAACGGGTTTTTTCATATCCTCCAAATCTGAGTGTTTTTGTCTTTCTGAAACTAGCAACTAAGAATGTCTCCAAGACCACAGTGTATCCAAACGGGTTAGTCCTGAAAAAAAAGGTCGACCTCACTTGATGCTCCTGTAAGAAAGCTTAAGTTCTCCATCATGGCTATTGTATGTAATTGTCATACAAAGTTTTTAATGTTCAAGAAACCAGTCACCAATGGAATCTAGGTGTCTTTTCCCTCTATTTTCCCAACATTTCCCCAGATTTTCCCAAGATTTTCCAGATTTTAGGTATCTTAGCTCACCCAGATTGTCTTTTTCCCCACCACCAGGGGTTTCAGATAAGTTGCAGAACTTCGAAGTAGTTTCTGCCCTTCGCAGAATGCCAAGTTGCGGAGGGTCATGATGATAGCAAGAATAGCAACAGGAATCGCAATCACCATGACAAACATAGTAGCAATATTGAAAAAATACTAAGAAGAACAATATAAATACAGTAACGACGATAATAACAACAATAATAAATCATAACAAAAATCAAAATGGTACCCGAGAACAATAATAGTAAACTTAGTAAACTGAGTTGACTTAGTAAACAGTAATGACAATGACAATGACAACACCATCACCGCTGTTGCCGCTGCCGCCTCGGTCTTCTTGGTGTGTCCCAGCTGCAAGAAACTTTGACGGTTGAAGCGTCGGGAGCCCTTCCTGGGATGGCAGAAAAGAGCTTGCCCAACGGATGGACAGATAGGTGTGAATATATGATTTATCAGTGTATGCATACATATACATATATACATATATATACATATATATACATATATATACATATATATACATATATATACATATATATACATATACATATATATACTATATACATACATCATATATACATATATATACATATATCTACATCACATATGTATACATATATATACATATTATATATATACATCAGCCTTATATACATATATATCATATATATACATATATCTATACATATATATTACATCTATCTCTACCTCTATATCCAGATCCATATATATATACATGATATATATACATATATCGATACATATTAACAAGATAATTTACATAATAAATACATAAAATACATATATATACATTATTATATGAGAGACAGAGATTATATACATATATATACATTATAATACATATATATATACAGAGAGATACATAGAGATTAAATACATATTTATACATATATATATACATATATATACATACATAGCAATATATACTATATATCCATCTATATATATATCCATCCATATACATATATACAGACATCTCAGGGAAAAGGACATTATATCACAGATATATACAATATATATACATATAGATAAAGACATATACATATAGAGACAGATTATACTAATAGCAGAGGATACCATATACATATATATACATATATATACATATATATATATACATATATATACATTATAACATATTCTCCATCTATCAACATTATCATACATATATAGCATATATACATATATGACAAGATCACCCCTCATCTACCTCACAGATATACATATATAGACAGGATATATACATATATATACATATATACATTATATATCCTTATATCATTATATACCTCTAATCCCATATATAATCTATATACTTATATAGACATATATATACATAGCTTACATATAAAGAACATGAAATACTACACATATATATACATAGTAATACATATATACTATATATACATATATATACATATATATACATCTCATATACCTACAATCCATATATATACATATATACACAGAGATACAGATATTATCTATACCTATATGTATACATATATATACATACATCTATACATATATAATACATATATATATATATACATCTATACATCTATACAATATAAATATATAAAAATACATAGAGACATATACATAGATACAGAGATAATATATACATATATACATATATACATATATACATATATACATATATACATATATACATATATACATATATACATATATACATATATACATATATACATATATACATATATACATATATACATATAATTACTGTATTTATCAGAAGTTTCAGTCAAAGTGGTATGGGATCAAAGGTTGAAGTGTAGAAGTGGTATTCAAAAAAAAGTGAAATGATGCTAGAATCTAGGTGATGTGACACACCCCAGGAATTGAACCGCAAATCCAGTGGCTTCGAAAATAGCTGTCCCGTCAAAATTGCTGTGGATATACCCCCGTTTTCCGACACACCCACAAACTGATCCCCAAAGGTTGACCCACCTGCTCCCTAACTGACCTGCAGTTAGAACACCTGCAAACCCAAAAAAAGACATCAGGGCGTTGGGTTCTAGGCATACAATTTTGCTCGTTAAGTAAATCCAATTGTTACTGTTTGATTCACAGCGTCTGAGACTTCAATCCCCCTTCCGGACGAAAGGAAATCCTGGTTCTTGTCAGTGAAATCCACATTTTTTGACGATCAACTCATCTGTCATTTCTCTTCTGTTGGTTAAATCATGTTAAATCATGTTAAATCCCCATTGTTGTTGGTTGAATCCCAATTTTTTCTGGCAAAAAAAAAAAACAAAAAAAATTCGAGGTCCCAGCATCTGGCCATCCCGGGGGGAACTGCCACTGCTGCGCCGCGAACCAGCACCGGTACTGGGGCGACGGTACCAGGGCCACCAGGGGCAGCAGGTCGCCATGGCGTTTGACGCTGGATGAGGATGTGCGGAAAACTGGGGAAAAGTTGGTGGCTTTTAGGGGGAAAGATGGTGTCCGAAAACTGGGATGTAAATAAGATATAGTATCATGTAATAATATAATATGATGGGGATATAATATATATATATATATGTATGTATATATATATGTGAATATGTATGTTATATATGTATGCAGCAATATGCGGATGTAGGAAATGGATGGCAAATGATTTCTGCACCAAATCTATGGAAATGTCATTGAAGCATCAACTGGTGGATGTGAACTCATCTTACTAATCTCAGGGAGCCTAAGCTCCTGTCGTAGAGCTACTTCCGTCCAATTCCATCGAGCTCGCGATTTTTGGGGGTGCTGATTTTGTTGATGAGAAACCCAGCCGAAAATGTCGAACCAGTCTGCACTCGTACCTGGGATCTCTGTGCCTGTTCAATGGTCGTTGGACACCAGAGGCTGAGATGGCTGCAGCAGGTCTCAGACTATCCGACAGCCGTTGAAAGCCCTTCAGGTGGCAATAGCCCGCAGATAGTAAACCATACCTCTATTTCCCAAATTTACCATTTGGGAATATGTTTGGGTCTTGTTTTTTTTTTCGAAACTCTTCAAGCAAAAAGCTACTCAGGGCATGTTTCGTCCGATCTTTGAGGGTCGGATCGCGCGGTGAGAAGTAGAGCCTAACACAGCTAATCTGCAGGTGGAAACGGCGGTGATGTTCCGCTGACCCAAAAATCCATGAGGCTATGGAACCAAGTCATTTGGGGTACCATGGGCCAAAGTCATGGCTCTATCTGTATATATATATATACTGTATGTATGTATGTAAGTAAGCAAGTATGTATGTATTGATGTATGTATGTATGTATGTATGTATGTATGTATGTATGGTAATGTACTGTAAGGCAATGTAAGGTAATGTAATGTAATGTAGTGTAATGTGTACATGTATGTGCATGTATGTACGTGTATGTATGTATGTGTATGTATGTATGTATGTATGTATGTATGTATGTATGTGTGTATGTATGTATGTATGTATGTATGTATGTGTGTATGTATGTATGTATGTATGTATGTATGTGTGCATGCATGTATGTATGTATGCATGCATGCATGCATGCATGGATGCATGTATGCATGCATGGATGTATGTATGTATGCATGCATGTATGTATGTATGCATGTGTATATATTTATATATATGGTTGTTGATCAAAATTCCTTTATCCCGGAACGGCCATTCTTCGCGAATAAAAATTTTACTTTCGCGAAACTTTCGCGAACTCCATGCTTATCTTTCGCGGGGCCCATGTTGGCCAACAACACCTCTTATGAAGATTCGTTCACCACCTGCCAAATTACGCCAAAGAATCACGGATCACTTCTTGCATGGTAGCCTTTTAAACATGCAGCTAGCATCACGGAATCCCTTCTCAGGACAGATTTTCTTTTGCAAAGTTTACTGGCCCACCCCCTTCAACATGCACTTTGACTTTCGCCCGCTCTTTGGCATAACTTTCGCGGAACTTTCGCGAAAATATCCCTATTCACAGACCCCGGCCATCAGCAGGGGGTGCACTGAAGGAAAAACGAAGACCAGGGGCCTTGGTGTTTGGCTCTCGCAAAGCCTCACTTTTGGAAACTTGGCTACTGCTACTCGCATTCTCTGGTGCCCTTCTCCTGCCGGACCTCGGGCGGCAGTGGGTGACAGCCCTTTACATATAATGATTATAATACCCAACTTTCGCGAAACTTTCGCGAAATAAAATTTTACTTTCGCGAACTCGAAAAAAAACTTTCGCGAGGGTTTCCAACATAACATGCACGGCTTTCGCGATTAAAACTCCTTACAAGGACCTTTAGATCGATCACCATATATACACACACACACATGTTGTCCGCCGACCCCGGCCTTAGCCAAGGCAGGGGCGGCGCCTGGGACCACCGCAGGTGTGGAACTTGTCTTTCTTAGCAACAGGCATCCCAAGGCCACATCAATGGCTTCTTATGGGCGTCCAAGCCTGCCGTTGCCAGGCCTTAAACGCTTCAAAGGCTTCAAACCGTTACAACTTTCCAAAAGCTTCGCGGAACGCCCAACCGCGCAGGCAAAAGCTACACCCAAGCCACATCAATGCGCAACGCCCAACCGCACAGGCAAAAGCTACCCCAAGGCCAGATCCATCGCTTCTTCTGGGCGGTCCAGCCTGCCGTTCGCCAGGCGTTCGCAGCCAACAGGCACCCCAAGGCCACATCAATGGCTTCTTATGGGCGTCCAAGCCTGCCGTTTGCCAGCCCCTAAACCCCTAAAACCCTTAAAACCCCTAAAACCCCCAAAACCCCTTAAACCCCTAAAACCCTTAAAACCCTTAAAACTCTGCAAAAGCGTCTCAGAACGCCCAACCGCGCAGGCAAAAGCTACCCCCAAGCCACATCAATGCGCAACGCCCAACCGCGCAGGCAAAAGCTACCCCAAGGCCAGATCCATCGCTTCTTCTGGGCGGTCCAGCTTGCCGTTCGCCAGGCGTTCGCAGCCAACAGGCACCCCAAGGCCACATCAATGGCTTCTTATGGGCGTCCAAGCCTGCCGTTTGCCAGCCCCTAAACCCTTAAAACCCCTAAAACCCCTAAAACCCCTAAAACCCTTATATAAAACCCTTAAAACTCTGCAAAAGCGTCTCAGAACGCCCAACCGCGCAGGCAAAAGCTACCCCCAAGCCACATCAATGCGCAACGCCCAACCGCGCAGGCAAAAGTTACCCCAAGGCCAGATCCATCGCTTCTTAGCAACAGGCATCCCAAGGCCACATCAATGGCTTCTTATGGGCGTCCAAGCCTGCCGTTTGCCAGGCCTTCAACGCTGACAAGGCTTCAACCCGTTACAACTTTCCAAAAGCTTCGCGGAACGCCCAACCGCGCAGGCAAAAGCTACCCCAAGGCCAGATCCATCGCTTCTTCTGGGCGGTCCAGCCTGCCGTTCGCCAGGCGTTCGCAGCCAACAGGCACTCCAAGGCCACATCAATGGCTTCTTATGGGCGTCCAAGCCTGCCGTTTGCCAGCCCCTAAACCCTTAAAACCCCTAAAACCCCTAAAACCCTTAAAACCCTGAAAACTCTGCAAAAGCGTCTCGGAACGCCCAACCGCGCAGGCAAAAGCTACCCCCAAGCCACATCAATGCGCAACGCCCAACCGCGCAGGCAAAAGCTACCCCAAGGCCAGATCCATCGCTTCTTCTGGGCGGTCCAGCCTGCCGTTCGCCAGGCGTTCGCAGCCAACAGGCACCCCAAGGCCACATCAATGGCTTCTTATGGGCGTCCAAGCCTGCCGTTTGCCAGCCCCGAAACCCTTAAAACCCCAAGGCCACATCAATGGCTTCTTATGGGCGTCCAAGCCTGCCGTTTGCCAGCCCCTAAACCCCTAAAACCCTTAAAACCCTTAAAACTCTGCATAAGCGTCTCGGAACGCCCAACCGCGCAGGCAAAAGCTACCCCCAAGCCACATACGCTTTTTCCTTCACAACGCCGTCCTTGACAGAAAACTTGTTCCCACACACCGTTCGATGGTCTATTTGCCCTGTCTTCAAGTCACTGGCTACATTCCCTTTGGAAGCGGGGCAAACGTAAACATACGCTTTTTTTGCACAACGCCGTCCTTGACAGAAAACTTGTTCCCACACACCGTTCGATGGTCTATTTGCCCTGTCTTCACGTCACTGGCCACATTCCCTTTGCACGCGGGGCAAATGTACACATACGCTTTTTCCTTCACAACGCCGTCCTTGACAGAAAACTTGTTCCCACACACCGTTCGATGGTCTATTTGCCCTGTCTTCACGTCACTGGCTACATTCCCTTTGCAAGCGGGGCAAACGTAAACAGAAAACTTGTTCCCACACACCGTTCGATGGTCTATTTGCCCTGTCTTCACGTCACTGGCCACATTCCCTTTGCACGCGGGGCAAACATAAACATACGCTTTCTCCTGCACAACGCCGTCCTGCACAGAAAACTGGTTCCCACACACCGTTCGATGGTCTATTTGCCCTGTCTTCACGTCACTGGCCACATTCCCTTTGCACGCGGGGCAAACGTAAACATACGCTTTTTCCTTCACAACGCCGTCCCTCACAGAAAACTGGTTCCCACACACCGTTCGATGGTCTATTTGCGCTGTCTTCACGTCACTGGCCACATTCCCTTTGCAAGCGGGGCAAACATAAACATACCCTTTCGCAAGGACCTGCGCGTCCCACACCTGGAAACGGTTACCACATGCGCGCCGGTGATCTACCCGGCCCGTGCGTATACTGCTCCTCACAGACTTTTGGCAAGCGGGACAAACATATTGGAAACTCTTGCCTTTCCTCTCTGCTTTTGCTTCATTTGCCAGCAACGTCACCGTCTCCGTCGCGCTGGCATTGTTCTGCTGTTTGCAGCTCATTTCTGCCTGCCTGTCTGTGCTTTCTTCTGTTCCGTCGTCTTCTCTACGTTGCTTTGCGTGCGGCGGGGCTTCCTGCAGTTGGGCGACATCCTGTTCTCTTTTCTGTTTTCGTTCCACGCTGGCAGCCCAGACATCAACCGTCGGCCCCACCGCCCTTTGCCTTCCGCTGTGCTGTCTTCCCGTTTGCCACGTACACCTGCAGGCCCTTCTGTGGTCATTTCTCTTCCGTTCTCTTGTCTGCGATGTTTTGCCTTCGGCTCTGCTTCCTGCGTTTGGAAGCTCTCCTGTTCTCTAGTCCGTTTTCGTTCCGCGATGGCATCCCAGACATCGGCAATGGCGCGTGCCGCTTTTTCTTCTGCTGCCCTCCTCGCGACTTTCGCCTGCGTTGCAGCTACCCGCTGTACTGCTTTGCTGATGCTTCCCCGGGGAATGGGGCAATTCCAGCAGTTGTTACAGATTTGGTCACCATTGCAAGAACGATGTTGCGCCAGCCAAGCTGCTTGCTTTACGTGGCATATGCTGCATCTCGACCAGCCCCATGCCTTCTCCGAACAAGCCAAGCACACTCTGCCGCCGTTGCGTGCCCGTTTCCACATGGCGGCAGAAAATTTCATTTCGTCCTTGCGTGTATTGCAGACCCTACACAGTTGTGTCTGTTCGCACGTCGCACAAATTGCAAACAAAGAAGCCGCTAACAACTTGCCAAACGAAGGTTAAGCTGGTACGAACGGCCAAAAAGTGCAAGTCTGCTAGTCGCTTTGACCATCCAGTTGTTTGGGTGTTTTTGATCTGGAGCCATTCTCACATGGGGCCCCAAAACACTGCGAATTTGACCCAGCAAAAAGGATGAAGGAAAGAAAGATACATATGGCCAATTGATGTCCAGTCAATGGCTGGAATCACTCTTAGATCCTGTCGCCCATCAGCAGGAACATCACAAAAGTGCCGTCTCCACAGGGAGATATTTGGGGTTTTCTTCGACGACTGACGTCCTGTTGATCTTGGTCCATTTGCTGAGGCGTTGCAGCAGGAAACTCCGACCGGTCGAGACTACTCTTGGATGGTTCATGCTTCAAACAATCAAAAAAGCCAGTGGTCTCAGGTTTCATGCTCCATTTCAACCAACATATGGGATTTCAATGGGATTTTCCATATCACTTTGTCCTTTCAGAGCTGCAACACCCAGCCACTCTGCTGTCCGTTCTGAGTTCTTCTGCACAACCGTGACCGTGGTGGTCCCCGGATGCGTGGCTAAGCTTGCCTAGCAAAAATGGGGCAATCTTGATTGATATGTTTCCACATTCTTCTTCTCTGTCATTGTCGTCCTCAACATAAACCAGCATCATGATCATCACTACCACCCACACCATCATCCTGATCATCGCCATCCTCATCATCACGATCATCACCATCTTTACCCTCTGGTAAACTAACATAACTATGGAAAATCACAATTTCTTATGGGAAAACTCACTATTTAAATGGCCATTTTCAATAGCTATGTTAAGTTACCAGAGGGTATCCTCATCAGTGATCAGAGGGGCCCAAACCCTATAAACTCGGGCTTCCCCAAGACTCGATTGATCAAGCTCCAGAGTTGTGCCAAGAGCCCAATGAATTTTCTGTCACGGGTCATGGTTAAGAGGCTATCCTAATTCTATAGCCCTAGCTGGGTATAGTTGGGTTAAGTAAAGAGTAAACATATTCTAAAATGAGGTGATTAATTCTGAACCCTTATCCTAAATGATTCGAGCATTTCCAATCCATATTTTTGGTGCATGAAATGATGAAGTTTAGTCTTGTTGGGTCCCAATCCCTTGTCGTGGGTGAAATCCGGGCAAATATATAATACTCCGCCAATAAGAAATAAGCCCTTTGGGGATGATTCCCCTTACTAATCAACATAAGTTCTCTGAAAATTACCCCTCAATCCATTGGTGAATTTCATCATTTTCCTGACAAAAATTGAAATTTTGGTGGTATACCCCACTTTCAGACAAACCCAATCATATCCCATTGATATTTCATGAACTATCCCATGTATGTCCCTAAGTATTGTTGGTAAAATCACCACTAAATCTCACAAAATCCACATGTTTTGTTTTGGAGAAATGACCTAGCCACTGCACCTGAAAAAAAAAAACAGGTCAGGAGGGCGGACGAGCACCGCCACCCACGTTCAGCAGCATCTGCTGCCCATTTGGCAGGTACCTGTTGTCTCGTTGGGATCAGCTTAGATAAGATGATTACAATTGACTACACATTCATTTTTTCCCCAAGGTGTATCTGATATTAATCTTTCATGTTGAGACAAACCCTCAATGAATTTATGGGAGATCCCTTGGAAGATGAATCTCCGTGATGTTTTTTTCCATGAAAGATGGCCTGGATTCCATGGTTGAAAAAGCCACCAAGCAGTCGTATAGCAGTCGTATTACCGTACTACCAATATTTTTCTTGCTCTCCCAATGTGGCTTTGTCTTTTTCACGGGAACTGTCAATTTTCACAGGTAGCTGTTTTGCTTGCGGTATAAGTTTGCCCTTGTGTTTTATTATTGCGCAAGTTCCAAAACAGAAAAAAACACATGGAACCCAGTTCTTCCAAATTGATGCTGCTGGCCTTTTTTCCCCACTGTGCGCCGTGCACTGTTTTTGGTGCATGCGTGTCCTGTGCTAACATCCTGGCTGGGAAAAGATAGGATTATGGATTCCCTTAAACGATTTTTTTTTACCTAAGAAAACTTTAAAATTCAAAAAATGCTGGGAGAAGATAGGATTATGGATTCCCTTATTTGATTTTTTTTCAAATAAGAAATTTGATTTAAAAAAAACTAGTTTTTTTTAATGAATCTCTTAAACGATTTCTTTCTCAAATAAGCAAATTTAAAAATTCAAAAAAGGCTAGGAGAAGATAGGATTATGGATTCCCTTATTATGCCCTTATTTGACGTTTTTTCAAATAAGAACTTTGAAAAAAACTAGGATTTTATATGAATCTCTTAAACGATTTTTTCTCAAATAAGCAAATTTGAAACTTCAAAAAAGGCTAGGAGAAGATAGGATTATGGATTCCCTTATTATGCCCTTATTTGACTTTTTTTCAAATAAGAACTTTGAAAAAAACTAGGATTTTATATGAATCGCTTAAACGATTTTTGTTCTCAAATAAGCAAATTTGAAAATTCAAAAAAGGCCAGGAGAAGATAGGATTATGGATTCCCTTAAACGTTTTTTTTCAAATAAGAAAAAAATAAAATTCAAAAAAGGCTGGGGGAAGATAGAATTATGGATTCCCTTAAACGATTTTTTTTTACCTAAGAAAATTTTAGAATTCCAAAAAGGCTGGGAGAAGATAGGATTATGGATTCCCTTATTTGTTTTGTTTTCAAATAAAAAAAATGTGTGTTTTTTTAAAGACTATGGTTTTATATGATTCTCTTAAACGATTTTTTATCAAATAAGCAAATTTGAAAATTCAAAAAAGGCTAGGAGAAGATAGGATTGTAGATTCCCCTAAACGATTTTTTTTTCAAATAAGAAAATTTTAAAATTCAAAAAAGGCTGGGGGAAGATAGGATTATGGATTCCCTTAAACGATTTTTTTACCTAAGAAAATTTTAAAATTCAAAAAAGGCTGGGAGAAGATAGGAGGGTTCCCTTATTTGATTTTTGTTCAAATAAGATAATTTGAAAATTAAGAAAAGGCTGGGAGAAGACAAGATAGGATTATGTTTCCTTAAACTTTTTTTTCAAATAAGAAAAAATAAAAAATCAAAAAAGGCTGGGAGAAGATTGCCTTATTTTTTATCAAACACATATCAAATCAAAATAAGAAAAACGATTCAAAAAAAACTGTAGGTGGAATAGAGTCAGAGAGATTGGTATTGTTTTTGTTTATATATTTAAACTAAATTAAATAGTAAAAAAATGAAAATACCAAAAAAAAATGTAACCAAAACATGTTAAACAATAAAAAAACAAAAAAACAATAGAAATCAGTTTGGAAGCAAATTTGATGAAAGAACCAATGTCAGCCTTGTTTTTTTTGACGTTGATTGGAGTTGATTCTTGATTTTTTTGACCAGAACTTAAACCACAAGCAAAAAGCTTAAACGATTTTTTTATTTTCAAATAAGCTTATTTGATTTTTTTTGTGGCTTGTGTCCCCTGGATTTTGTTTTTTTTTTGTGTTTCTGATCAGAAAAAACAAATTGTGGGGGACAGAAATTGATTATAATTGGTTTGTGTCCCCCACAATTTGTTTTTTCTGATCAGAAACACAAAAAAAAACAAAATCCAGGGGACACAAGCCACAAAAAAAATCAAATAAGCTTATTTGAAAATAAAAAAAATCGTTTAAGCTTTTTGCTTGTGGTTTAAGTTCTGGTCAAAAAAATCAAGAATCAACTCCAATCAACGTCAAAAAAAACAAGGCTGACATTGGTTCTTTCATCAAATTTGCTTCCAAACTGGTTTCTATTGTTTTTTTTTTATTTTTTTTATTGTTTTCATGTTTTGGTTACAGGTTTTTTTGGAATTTTCATTTTTTTACTATTTAATTTAGTTTAAATATATAAACAAAAACAATACCAATCTCTCTGACTCTATTCTACTTACAGTTTTTTTAAAATCTTTTTTCTTATTTTGATTTGATTTTGTTTGATCAAAAATAAGGCAATCTTCTCCCAGCCTTTTTTGAATTCTTAAATTTTCTTATTTGAAAAAAAAATCGCCTAAGGGAATCTACAATCCTATCTTCTCCTAGCCTTTTTTGAATTTTCAAATTTGCTTATTTGAGAAAGAAATCGTTTAAGAGATTCATATAAAACCATAGTCTTTACAAAAAAAACATTTTTTTTATTTGAACAAAAAAACAAATAAGGGAATCCATAATCCTATCTTCTCACAGCATTTTTTGAATTTTAAAATTTTCTTAGGTAAAAAAAATCGTTTAAGGGAATCCATAATCCTATCTTCACCCATCATTTTTTGAATTTTAAAATTTTCTTATTTGAAAAAAAACGTTGAAGGGAATCCATAATCCTATCTTCTCCTAGCCTTTTTTGAATTTTCAAATTTGCTTATTTGAGAACAAAAATCGTTTAGGCGATTCATATAAAATCCTAGTTTTTTTCAAAGTTCTTATTTGAAAAAAAACATCAAATAAGGGCATACTAAGGGAATCCATAATCCTATCTTCTCCTAGCCTTTTTTGAAGTTTCAAATTTGCTTATTTGAGAAAAAATCGTTTAAGAGATTCCTTTAAAAAAACCTGTTTTTTTTAATTTTCAATTTCTTATTTGAAAAAAAAACAAATAAGGGAATCCATAACCCTATCTTCTCCCAGCCTTTTTTGAATTTTAAAATTTTCTTATTTGAAAAAAAAATCGTTTAAGGGAATCCATAATGCTATCTTTTCCCAGCCTTTTTTGAAGTTTAAAATTTTCCCAGCCTTCTATGACAATGACAATGATTTGACTTTTGAATCTTGGATGGGTTGGTTTGAGCTAAGTATGTAGTAAGTATATATGTAGTAAAAAATTGAATTACCTGGTTACAAGTTATAGTTATATGTAACATGTATGATAACTAAGGTGACTCAAACTTGCATTACCTTGTGGTTTATCTTTTTTGTTCCACCTGTGAGCCATGAATCCATGAGAATGGCATGGCTTCTCTTTGGTCCAAAATGCAGAGTTTGGTGCCTATTTGGGGGAGCCCAATCCATAAAACACAAGCCACCAGTTAAAACGCAAGACCTGTGCAAATTCTCAACGGGAACATCCCCAAAATCCCATCATTGAGTACCTCAAAAATTGAAACCAAAAAGTCATGCTGAGTCCATCATCATCATTTCATCCTCATTTTCTAGCTTTCCCTCATTTTCTGGCCATCTTCCCACCATCTTTCCGCGATTTCCCAGATTTTCCTCAGATTTTCCCCGTAGCCCGGGACAGCGCACATCACGTTGGGCGACTTCGCCAGGTTCTCGGCGATGTCCTTGGCCGTGTCGATACGTCGGACCTGGCGAGTTTCGAGGAGTTTAGATCCACCAAAATCTGGAACTTCCCAGTTAAACCATGTTCAACCATGTGTTTCCTGGTCATTTTCTGGTCAGTTTCAGCGGCGAATGCCTGATGTCCGAAAAAGTGAAAGCATTGCTGGGTCTGTGAAATATTCAGCCAAATGAAAAAGGGAGCAAAACTCACATTGAAATGAAAGCATCGTGGCCCAAAGACGCTGGAATTCACCAGAAGAAAACATAAATCTAGATCTGCAATGTCACTCTTGGACTGAAAAAAACTCGATTGGTCGGTCATCCCCCAAGGGTGCACCTCAATCAGGCCGGAACCATGCTCCTTCAAGGCCTGGCATTGGACAAGCATCGGTGTCGATATCCCGGCTCTTGAAGAATTCAGAAATATCGTCACCATCATCGTCACCACCATCCACCATCCACCACCACCACCACCATCGTCGTCGTCGTCGTCAGAATCACATGGTTTTGGCTTTTGTTCATCGTCCTTCAAAATTTGCAATTCAACATGTCAACAACATCCGACACCAACCACTCTGTGTTTTTTAAATCCAAGTTGCTGTCCTAAGTACGTTGATTGATTTTGGAGTGCAGAGTTGAGTGATGATTTACAAATATTTCAAAATCATGCTACAGGTATTTGGTGATTTTGTGTGTGTTTTTTTTTACAAATGGTGAATTTTGGTACAGCCGTTTGGATCAACGAAGCCCCAGCATTGACCTACGATGGGAACATGGGAACCTCAGAGATCATCTTGGCGGCTTCTGCTTCGCCTTCTGATCGAATGACCTCAGGGGATCAGCTTTGGATACCCTGCTCACGTCCCATAGGGGATACATGATGTGGGATGCCCTAAGGATACCCTAAGGCCCCAATTTTCGCCCAATTTGGTGCCAATTTTCACCCAAAAAAAAATGATGAACCACTGAATTTCCTGGGTTTTTTTTGGGATCAATCCAGTGGTTGGGACCCTGGTTTTAGGGTCGCTCGCATCTGGGCGCTGCTCAGGTTCCCCGCAGTGGCCTGTCTTTCCTGCTCGGCCTGCTGCTTTTCTCCGACTTTCTTTCGTGTATGGATTGGATGATCAAATGGCACTGATGGCACATCAAAATTGTTACAATTGTTGTATGAGTTTCCTGAATGACTGTCGAAAATCGGGTCCCCCCAATTTCAATGGATACAGTAATTTTCCGAATGAGACTTACCATTTAATGAGGTCAAGCCTCCCTATTGCAGACAAACACATCCCCATACTGTCGTTAGAAAATATCTCACCCTAACAAGCATCAAAGCATCTATTCCCTTCCATTTTATGAATCTCCCCATGTTTGTTTGCTAGATCCCCATCTATATAATATAGCTTGAATCCCCGCTAATCTCCCTGATATCCCATCCATCTACCCAAATCTACTGTGCGTTGACATGGGCATTCCGAATCATATCATCCGTTGAGCAAAATCTCTGTGTCCACCATCATATTTCTATTGCAATTTGGGAAGAAAAACCCCAATTTTGAAACACAACCATCGAACAATTATATACACCATATAGATTGAAAGATTAAAAAAATAAACGATCACGATCATTCAACAGTTACTTAACAATCAGTTCACACTCAACTAAATTCAGCAATCATTTACCAATATTTACCAATGATTTATAGATATACCATCCATTCACCCAATGTAATCACCACGTTGCGCATCCCATATAATTTGCACGTCCGCCTTCTCCACGATGAACTTCTGCCTTTCGGCGTCTTGCTGGGCCACCTGATCGGATCGGATTCGAAACACCAAGCATAATATGGGAATATACATATATATATATATATTATGGGATGGTTGGGATATTCCCATATATGTGGGATTCTATATATATATATATGTTTGTATATTTGGGATATGTATGGACATGTGGTTTTGAAACAACCATTTAATATGTTTTCGATGGAGACCAACCAGGACCATCCCGGGCATCAAGGCAATTTGTCACTGGGGGATACCGTCCACTAAACGGCTGGTACATGACAGCCACGTTATGGCTGAAAACTATCGAATTTGACGGACGTACGGACGTCATCTCTGAATACAGCTGTGTTTTGTGGATGTTTGCCGAGCAGATTGGATTGCCGAGCCCAAGGATTTCATAGCCATGAAACACGGTAATGGTGAAACGATTGCTCAGTCCTGGGATGAGGGTTCCAAGTTTTAACAGAACCTCATATGGCGAAGATCCAAATGGCAATTGTTCACCCCGATACATTTCTGTGAACACCGAAATCACTAGTAGTATCTAGTAGTTCTTCATGCCCCAAATATTTAAGACTGTATGTATATATGTATATATACACACACATATAAACCAAATATCCAAAATGGTATGCATAAAATATTTGGACAAAAATAATAATATTGGACTAAAATACTATAAATATTTGGACTATAATACATACATCTCCAAAGATGGTATCACCAGTATTGATCCATTCCCATCGGTGAAATCCAGTCGCACAAGTCGCACTCACCTTCAGAATGCCTTCCCTGTAGCCATTCCCCTTAATACTGATGAATTAGTTAGTTGATGATATATGGCCATCAAACTGTTTGATATGAATATAGGATGAATTACTTCTTAGTAATTAACTTTAATGGCCCTTTTAGTTGGATGAATTACTTCTTATATAGAAATGGTGGATGTTTTTTCTTTAATATGTCGAAGAAGTACTTAAAATTTCCACAGCTATGTATGTTTACCAAGGATTTCTGTGGAGACCCAAAAACATCGCCAGGATATTGCCTGTTTGTCCTCAATCGCCCGGGCAAAGTCCTGGCAACAAAAACCGAGGCTGCATCTTGGACATTGAAGCAGAGCACACAAAATATGTGAGAAATATATTATATTATAGATCATATGTCAATGTATATACACTGTAGATGGGGATGAATCTATAGTTGTTCCCTTTGGATGGAATTCCACTCGATCACTAGGATCGCAGGTGCGATCCTTGGTTTTCGGTGTTCGATGTTTACAAAAAAAGAGTTAGTTTTTCACAGAAATACCCCCGGGAAAAAAAAAAAACATGTGTATTGTTCAAATGACCTGAATACAAAAACTGTCTATAAAGTATGTATTTATTAATGTATCATGTATATGATCACAGCTTCTTTGAACTGTATATCTTGTTCTTCTCTCTTCACATCTCCAAAATATGCTTTGTTGAGCAAACAGATTCGGCGCCGCCTTGCCGTAGGTGAGGTGGGTGATGGCGATATCATCCTGGTGTCTTAAGCCATGCCGCGGAGGTGAAGAAAAAATTGGATCAATGGGGGTTTTGTACTGTATTAATTTATCATTGATGTATTGTATAATTGATCTTTAACAATTGGATACTATGATTGATTCATGTTTTTTTCCAGTATTGGATCAATTAATTTAACTATCATCCAGTGAACTGTATTTGGATGTGATTTTGTACTAATATATGAACCATATAGTTACAATGGATGATTTCATAACATTAGAGAAAAGAGAAGAACAGCATATAGTAGAAATACTAACATCAACGTCATTTGATTAAATGTTGGATTGATAGTTTGATGATATTTGGAAAATTGGATCATAGTTGTACAGCCAAAGCAATAATTTGATGATAGTTGAATTAAGCGGTCACCAAGGATACACCCCAGAAATTTAACATAGCATAGATCAGCTCTGGCACCGGCTCATTAACATAGCATCCGGTACCGTTGTGCGGCCTGGGGAAAAGGAGATAGGTAGATTTTGGGCCGGTTGGGCACCAACTCATTAACATAGCATCCGGCGCCGTTGTGGGAATAATTTGTGCATTCCCCAGGAAATGGAGATCAAAAACCTGCGATGGGTGCTAACCCTGGCACCTGAAAGAGACTGACCTAGCTAGAATCCTGGAAGGCAGAAATGCTATGCTAGTTTTTTGTTTCCCCTGTGTATCTCCCCGGGGTGGTGATCCCAATGCAATGAGTCGGGGTGAGCAGCAGGTGAGCAGCAGCAGGTAAGCAGCAGGTAAGCAGCAGCACGCAGCAGCAAGGAGCAGCAAGGAGCCAGATTGGCAACATCGACCAGGAGATTTTTCCTTCTTCAATCCATTATGTAAAATTGTTCGTTTTGAAGCTTTTTTGGGTCCAGTAAGGGTGAGCCCCAGGAAGACATGCAAAAACAGTTGTGCCAGTCATGATTTTCAATCCAAACCAGAGTTTTGGCAACAGGATTGCTAACATAGCATTGGCCCAGGGTTCCCAAAACCTCCAATAGTACATCATAATCATCATGGCAGCAAGGAACCAGATTGGCAACATCGACCATGAGTTTTTTCCTTATTCAATCCATTATGTAAAACTGTTCGTTTTGAAGCTTTTTTGGGTCCAGTAAGGGTGAGCCCCAGGAAGACATGCAAAAACAGTTGTGCCAGTCATGATTTTCAATCCAAACCAGAATTTTGGCAACAGGATTGCTAACATAGCATTTGCCCAGGTTTCCCAAAACCTCCAATAGTACGTCATAATCACCATGGCAGCAAGGAGCCAGATTGGCAACATCGACCAGGAGTTTTTTCCTTATTCAATCTATTATGTAAAACTGTTCGTTTTGAAGCTTTTTTTGGGTCCAGTCAGGGTGAGCCCCAGGAAGACATGCAAAAACAGTTGTGCCAGTCATGATTTTCAATCCAAACCAGAGTTTTGGCAACAGGATTGCTAACATAGCATTTGCCCAGGGTTCCCAAAACCTCCAATAGTACATCATAATCATCATAGCAGCAAGGAGCCGGATTGGCAACATCGATCAGGAGTTTTCTCCTTTTTCAATCTATTATGTAAAACTGTTCGTTTTGAAGCTTTTTTGGGTCCAGTGAGGGTGAGTCCCAGGAAGACATGCAAAAACAGTTGTGCCAGTCATGGTTTTCAACAGAGTTTTGGCAACAGGATTGCTAACATAGCATTTGCCCAGGGTTCCCAAAACCTCCAATAGTACATCATAATCATCATGGCAAGGAGCCAGATTGGCAACATCGACCAGGAGTTTTTTCCCTTATTCAATCTATTATGTAAAACTGTTCGTTTTGGAGCTTTTTTGGGTCCAGTAAGGGTGAGCCCCAGGAAGACATGCAAAAACAGTTGTGCCAGTCATGATTTTCAATCCAAACCAGAGTTTTGGCAACAGGATTGCTAACATAGCATTTGCCCAGGGTTCCCAAAACCTCCAATAGTACATCATAATCGTCATGGCAAGGAGCCAGATTGGCAACATCGACCAGGAGTTTTCTCCTTATTCAATCTATTATGTAAAACTGTTCGTTTTGAAGCTTTTTTGGGTCCAGTGAGGGTGAGTCCCAGGAAGACATGCAAAAACAGTTGTGCCAGTCATGGTTTTCAACAGAGTTTTGGCAACAGGATTGCTAACATAGCATTTGCCCAGGGTTCCCAAAACCTCCAATAGTACATCATAACCATCATGGCAGCAAGGAGCCAGATTGGCAACATCGACCAGGAGATTTTTCCTTCTTCAATCCATTATGTAAAATTGTTCGTTTTGAAGCTTTTTTGGGTCCAGTGAGGGTGAGCCCCAGGAAGACATGCAAAAACAGTTGTGCCAGTCATGATTTTCAATCCACACCAGAGTTTTGGCAACAGGATTGCTAACATAGCATTTGCCCAGGGTTCCCAAAACCTCCAATAGTACATCATAATCATCATGGCAGCAAGGAGCCAGATTGGCAACATCGACCAGGAGTTTTTTCCTTATTCGATCTATTATGTAAAACTGTTCGTTTTGAAGCTTTTCTTGGTCCAGTAAGGGTGAGCACCAGGAAGACATGCAAAAACAGGTGTGCCAGTCATGATTTTCAATCCAAACCAGAGTTTTGGCAACAGGATTGCTAACATAGCATTTGCCCAGGGTTCCCAAAACCTCCAATAGTACATCATAATCATCATGGCAAGGAGCCAGATTGGCAACATCGACCAGGAGTTTTTTCCCTTATTCAATCTATTATGTAAAACTGTTCGTTTTGAAGCTTTTTGGGGTCCAGTAAGGGTGAGCCCCAGGAAGACATGCAAAAACAGTTGTGCCAGTAATGATTTTCAATCCAAACCAGAGTTTTGGCAACAGGATTGCTAACATAGCATTTGCCCAGGGTTCCCAAAACCTCCAATAGTACATCATAATCATCATGGCAGCAAGGAGCCAGATTTGCAACATCGACCAGGAGTTTTTTTCCTTATTCAATCTATTATGTAAAACTGTTCGTTTTGAAACTTTTTTGGGTCCAGTAAGGGTGAGCCCCAGGAAGACATGCAAAAACAGTTGTGCCAGTCATGATTTTCAATCCAAACCAGAGTTTTGGCAACAGGATTGCTAACATCGCATTTGTCCAGGGTTCCCAAAACCTCCAATAGTACATCATAATCATCATGGCAGCAAGGAGCCGGATTGGCAACATCGACCAGGAGTTTTTTCCTTCTTCAATCTATTATGTAAAATTATTCGTTTTGAAGCTTTTTTGGGTCCAGTAAGGGTGAGCCCCAGGAAGACATGCAAAAACAGTTGTGCCAGTCATGATTTTCAATCCAAACCAGAGTTTTGGCAACAGGATTGCTAACATAGCATTTGCCCCGGGTTCCCAAAACCTCCAATAGTACATCATAATCATCATGGCAGCAAGGAGCCAGATTGGCAACATCGACCAAGTTTTTTTTTCCTTATTCAATCTATTATTAAAAACTGTTCGTTTTGAAGCTTTTTTGGGTCCAGTAAGGGTGAGCCCCAGGAAGACATGCAAAAACAGGTGTGCCAGTCATGATTTTCAATCCAAACCAGAGTTTTGGCAACAGGATTGCTAACATAGCATTTGCCAAGGGTTCCCAAAACATCCAATAGTACATCATAATCATCATGGCAGCAAGGAGCCAGATTGGCAACATCGACCAGGAGTTTTTTCCTTATTCAATCTATTATGTAAAACTGTTCGTTTTGAAGCATTTTTGGGTCCAGTAAGGGTGAGCCCCAGGAAGACATGCAAAAACAGTTGTGCCAGTCATGATTTTCAATCCAAACCAGAGTTTTGGCAACAGGATTGCTAACATAGCATTTGCCCAGGGTTCCCAAAACCTCCAATAGTACATCATAATCGTCATGGCAAGGAGCCAGATTGGCAACATCGACCAGGAATTATTTGTTTTGAAGCTTTTTTGGGTCCAGTAAGGGTGAGCCCCAGGAAGACATGCAAAAACAGTTGTGCCAGTCATGATTTTCAATCCAAACCAGAGTTTTGGCAACAGGATTGCTAAAATAGCATTTGCCCAGGGTTCCCAAAACCTCCAATAGTACATCATAGTCATCATGGCAGGAAGGAGCCAGATTGGCAACATCGACCAGGAGTTTTTTCCTTATTCAATCTAGTATGTAAAACTGTTCGTTTTCAAGCTTTTTTGGGTCCAGTAAGGGTGAGCCCCGGGAAGACATGCAAAAACACTTGTGCCAGTCATGATTTTCAATCCAAACCAGAATTTTGGCAACAGGATTGCTAACATAGCATTTGCCCAGGGTTCCCAAAACCTCCAATAGTACATCACAATCATCATGGCAGCAAGGAGCCAGATTGGCAACATCGACCAGGAGTTTTTTCCTTATTCAATCTAGTATGTAAAACTTTTCCTTTTCAAGCTTTTTTGGGTCCAGTAAGGGTGAGCCCCAGAAAGACATGCAAAAACAGTTGTGCCAGTCATGATTCTCAATCCAAACCAGAGTTTTGGCAACAGGATTGCTAACATAGCATTTGCCCAGGGTTCCCAAAACCTCCAATAATACATCATAATCATCATGGCAGCAAGGAGCCAGATTGGCAACATCGACCAGGAGTTTTTTCCTTATTCAATCTATTATGTAAAACTGTTCGTTTTGAAGCTTTTTTGGGGTCCAGTAAGGGTGAGCCCCAGGAAGACATGCAAAGACAGTTGTGCCAGTCATGATTTTCAATCCAAACCAGAGTTCTGGCAACAGGGTGACTAACATAAGAATTGCCCAGGGTTCCAAAACTCCAATAGTACCCATCAACATCATCATGGCAGCAAGGAGCCCAGATTGGCACCACGACCAGGAATTTTTTCCTTATTCATCTATTATGTAAAAAATGTTTTATTCGTTTTGAAGCTTTTTTGGGTCCAGTGAGGGTGAGCCCCAGGAAGACATGCAAAAACAGTTGTGCCAGTCATGATTTTCAATCCAAACCAGAGTTTTGGCAACAGGATTGCTAACATAGCATTTGCCCAGGGTTCCCAAAACCTCCAATAGTACATCATAATCATCATGGCAGCAAGGAGCCAGATTGGCAACATCGACCAAGAGTTTTTTCCTTATTCGATCTATTATGTAAAACTGATCGTTTTGAAGCCTTTTTTTGGTCCAGTAAGGGTAAGCCCCAGGAAGACATGCAAAAACAGTTGTGCCAGTCATGATTTTCAATCCAAACCAGAGTTTTGGCAACAGGATTGCTAACATAGCATTTGCCCAGACTTCCCAACACCTCCAATAGTACATCATAGTCATCATGGCAGGAAGGAGCCAGATTGGCAACATCGACCAGGAGTTTTTTCCTTATTCAATCTATTATGTAAAACTGTTCGTTTTGAAGCTTTCTTGGGTCCAGTAAGGGTGAGCCCCAGGAAGACATGCAAAAACAGTTGTGCCAGTCATGATTTTCAATCCAAACCAGAGTTTTGGCAACAGGATTGCTAACATAGCATTTGCCCAGGGTTCCCAAAACCTCCAATAGTACATCATAATCGTCATAATCATCATGGCAGCAAGGAGCCAGATTGGCAACATCGACCAGGAGTTTTTTTCTTACTCAATCTATTATGTAAAACTGTTCGTTTTGAAACTTTTTTGGGTCCAGTAAGGGTGAGCCCCAGGAAGACATGCAAAAACAGTTGTGCCAGTCATGATTTTCAATCCAAACCAGAGTTTTGGCAACAGGATTGCTAACATCGCATTTGTCCAGGGTTCCCAAAACCTCCAATAGTACATCATAATCATCATGGCAGCAAGTAGCCAGATTGGCAACATCGAACAGGAGTTTTTTCCTTATTCGATCTATTATGTAGAACTGTTCGTTTTGAAGCTTTTTTGGGTCCAGTAAGGGTGAGCCCCAGGAAGACATGCAAAAACAGTTGTGCCAGTCATGATTTTCAATCCAAACCAGAGTTTTGGCAACAGGATTGCTAACTCCCAAAACCTCCAATAGTACATCATAATCATCATGGCAAGGAGCCAGATTGGCAACATCGACCAGGAGTTTTTTCCTTATTCAATCTATTACGTAAAACTGTTCGTTTTGAAGCTTTTTTGGGTCCAGTAAGGGTGAGCCCCAGGAAGACATGCAAAAACAGTTGTGCCAGTCATGATTTTCAATCCAAACCAGAGTTTTGGCAACAGGATTGCTAACATAGCATTTGCCCAGGGTTCCCAAAACATCCAATAGTACATCATAATCATCATGGCAGCAAGGAGCCGGATTGGCAACATCGACCAGGAGTTTTTTCCTTATTCAATCTATTACGTAAAACTGTTCGTTTTGAAGCTTTTTGGGTCCAGTAAGGGTGAGCCCCAGGAAGACATGCAAAAACAGTTGTGCCAGTCATGATTTTCAATCCAAACCAGAGTTTTGGCAACAGGATTGCTAACATAGCATTTGCCCAGGGTTCCCAAAACCTCCAATAGTACATCATAATCGTCATGGCAAGGAGCCAGATTGGCAACATCGACCAGGAGTTTTCTCCTTATTCAATCTATTATGTAAAACTGTTCGTTTTGAAGCTTTTTTGGGTCCAGTAAGGGTGAGCCCAGGAAGACATGCAAAAACAGTTGTGCCAGTCATGATTTTCAATCCAAACCAGAGTTTTGGCAACAGGATTGCTAACATAGCATTTGCCCAGGGTTCCCAAAACCTCCAATAGTACATCATAATCATCATGGCAGCAAGGAGCCAGATTGGCAACATCGACCAGGAGTTTTTTTCCTTATTCAATCTATTATGTAAAACTGTTCGTTTTGAAGCTTTTTTGGGTCCAGTAAGGGTGAGCCCCAGGAAGACATGCAAAAACAGTTGTGCCAGTCATGATTTTCAATCCAAACCAGAGTTTTGGCAACAGGATTGCTAACATAGCATTTGCCCAGGGTTCCCAAAACCTCCAATAGTACATCATAATCATCATGGCAGCAAGGAGCCAGATTGGCAACATCGACCAGGAGTTTTTTCCTTATTCAATCTATTATGTAAAACTGTTCGTTTTGAAGCTTTTTTGGGTCCAGTAAGGGTGAGCCCCAGGAAGACATGCAAAAACAGTTGTGCCAGTCATGATTTTCAATCCAAACCAGAGTTTTGGCAACAGGATTGCTAACATAGCATTTGCCCAGGGTTCCCAAAACCTCCAATAGTACATCATAATCATCATGGCAGCAAGGAGCCAGATTGGCAACATCGACCAGGGGTTTTTTCCTTATTCAATCTATTATGTAAAACTGTTCGTTTTGAAGCTTTTTTGGGTCCAGTAAGGGTGAGCCCCAGGAAGACATGCAAAAACAGTTGTGCCAGTCATGATTTTCAATCCAAACCAGAGTTTTGGCAACAGGATTGCTAACATAGCATTTGCCCAGGGTTCCCAAAACCTCCAATAGTACATCATAATCATCATGGCAGCAAGGAGCCAGATTGGCAACATCGACCAGGAGTTTTTTTCCTTATTCAATCTATTATGTAAAATTGTTCGTTTTGAAGCTTTTTTGGGTCCAGTAAGAGTGAGCCGCAGGAAGATATGCAAAAACAGTTGTGCCAGTCAAACATAGCACCTTCCATTTGGTGGTTCCAGCTTTGGAGTATTCGCCAAGTTCCCAAACACAGCACGAACACTAACTTGACACTTTTGGGAATTTGTGCTGATGGAGGCGCGGCAGGTGTTAGGTTAGTATCAAAATCACCCCATGAACATGCAAGATTTCAGCTGCTATGTTAGCGCTGTTCAACGGGAAATCCCGAACGCTAACGTAGCGGGATAATTTTATTTTTATTTTTTTTTGGCCCAGGTTAGATTTCACGGGAGTAGTTGATTTTATCACCAATGTTGGATATTAGATGATCGCCATGAAACTTGGATACATTACCAGCGATGACTCAGTACATATATATATATACCACCAATAGAGCTAGGCAGTGGGGTTTGACAACACTTCATCAGAATCCCATCCCCAACCCCGTTTTTTGTGGAACACAGAACATGAACAAATCCAGCACCGAAGGGACCAAACCATCTGCGCTGATGTTGTGATGATGTGATGTTGTAGCTGGTTGAGCCACAGCGCCTTCAAAATAGGACACTCATTGCGGATCATCCTCCCATTTCTAGGGTCCGTTTCGAACAAAAAAGATGAAACCACCAGGCAGCAACGCCCTGAAACTTGCTGGCCTCACCACAAACAATTGGCTTCAGGACCCAATTTATGTAGCTTTTCAGCCACAAGAAGCATCTGGGCTCTCAAACCATCAGGATGTTGAATTGATTGGCTCGCGCTACGATGGCCTGCGAGCACTCTCGCACTCCAAAAGGCTGTCACTGGAAGACTCTTCGAAAGAGCAAAAAACATGGATCTGCTTGTCTGAATGCCTTTGCAAGTGTTTTTCAAGACGTTGATTCTCATGTCAGTTTGAAGTTTTCTTCAACATAATTTGGGATTTCCCCGATCATCTGGGGAGCCAAAAAATCTGTCACTCTACGTGGCAGTGGTGATCTTCGTGATTCCTCGGCACCTGCCTCTCGAATCTCTCTAGAGACCTTCCAAAGAGGCACGCTGACAGGGATCCATAGATGGGAGATTTTCTTTGCATCGATAAAGCTAGAAGTAGTTCTGATACATGGGAAATAGTTGTATGGGATGAACCATTACAAGTGATTTCATCTTGGTCAGAACTTTGTCAACCAGAATCACCATGATGGGAAATTGCTGGGAATCTTGTTGGGCCAATTTCATTCATAAGCATTAGAGTAGTGCAGTGTCGTAGATATAGCCTCCAGGGAAAGGAATGGGAGTGTCCGCCAGTGATACAGGGCATGGGTCAAAACCTATTATTACCATCTGTTACCCATATGACTGGGAGAATAAGCATCCAGCTATACCAGCTATTTTAGGGTACCGTTTGGGTACCTAGGGTTTTGACCCATATGAACCAAGGATGAACGATCAAACCAGAAGTTGACAAGAAAAACTATGTGTTGGAGACGGTGCATTCTCCATATCTTTGTCTCCACCTTTACCCTCTGAAAATCCAACAGTTCGCTCTGAAGAATCAACATTTCCAATAGGAAAACCATCGAACTGGGCCATCTATACCAATAGCAAACTGTCAAATTCCCAGAGGGTATATTCTAACTGCCCATTGCATCGGCTGTCATGTTGTTCCTGTGACAAGTGCGGCTCAGAGCTTCATTTGTGGGGACATGAAAATGACCGTTTTTTGGGGTGAGGCTCTCGGTCAAAACTCTGCTACACTGGTCAACGTCAAACTAGCCCAAAACGAGTAGTCATATAGGTATTGACCCCTCCCCATTTAGGTATGCTCACTTTGGTACAAATCCGCAACAATGCCACAAAACTACCAATAAAAATGGAAGATTTTCACGAACGACACAAGGAATGTCTCCTATGCATTCAACAAATTTTCAGTGAATGGGAATTCAAACCCCAACACTTTTGCATGTTAGATCTCTGCGATTGATCTGTCGGCTATTTACTTCCTGAAGTTCATCGAATTGTCTTATGTGCGTGTCCAAAAATTGGATATTCCTATATACTGGACTAAGGATCCCAAAGTTCCAGACCCAAACGGATCAACAAACTCGAAAAAAAATATAGATGGTGAAACGCCAAGATCGCCCAAGACATCCAAAGACCAATGAGAAATAAGATGATATGTCGTTAAAACAATGCCACCAACAATCGCTGGGGCATGACACGACTGCATGTGCAAATCCAGCAATATGATCAATATGGCCGAGCTCCAGATTTTTCAATGCGTTTCATGGCCCCAGCACATCTTGTGCGGTGCCGTTGAGCGGGCGGCAAATCGGTCATGCCATTTCGTGGATCTTGTTGGATTTTTCTTATTTGCAAACCCCTGCAAAGCAAGGATTTCCCAAAGTGTTCAACCACTTTTGTGGGTGAAATATTAAGGGCATTTCCTGAAATAGATGGACCCCAAAATCATCTAAGTGATAGGACTAGACCATTTTGGGAAATACTCTGGGTCTGCTGAGTCTGCTGATCTGTCGGACCATTCACGGTGGTGCACGGCCACGCCGGCAGGGAGGTAGCCTGCACGGATCACACCCGCAAGACGTGTTGGATCTATTTGGATCTATGAATTGGGGTCCCAAACACTGGGGAATTTGTTAATTCTGCAACAAAGGGAGATTGGCTATGGAAATGGACTCACGCTGATCAGTTTGTGGGGAGATCCAACTCAAGGAATGTCAGAAGAATCAGCATCAGTACACGTTCCCCATTTGTTTTTGATCTTCTGACCATGTCCTGGCTTTGGAACTTGGGACCGCAGCAAACCAGGTGGGATGTACCCCGTTGACTCGTTGACTAACATGGGCTTGCGATCACAGCAACCATTCCTGGTTCGCCCACGAAGTAGGTCTGTGAATGGGGGCCAGGTTGCGAGATCGCCACCCATCAAAAGAAAGCAAGACTATGGGGCTGGAGATACCAAGGTTAGATAGGAGAACAAAAAGAAGTTCTCCCAAGACTGTCCCATTTCACATTTTTCAAAAAGGAATGAATTGCCCCGTTCCTTCCAACACCCTTTCACACCGAACTTTGCGGGTTCGGCACCGACGATGACGATGTGAGACACTGACGCTTGGCTCTTGGAGTTGTTTGGCTTGCCACATTCGCAACTGTCGCTCCAGGAGTTGCCCGACAGATTGGAGGTCAGCAGCTGCCCATCAGGCAAAACCATTCGAAGATCCTGGAGGTCGACGTTCAATTCACATGCAATGCGTTTGTGAGTTCCCCAGGCTGGGTCTGAGTCATGTGCGTTCAAGCAGAGCATTTCTTGGCCACCCAAATTTGAGCATCTCAGTCTCACTGCATCATCTTCATGAACAAAATCTAGTTGCACAACCAGGTCGTTCTTAGGAGACCTCAAACCGCTGATGTACTGAGTTCCAGGCGTCAAAGACGGGTTGCATTGTCCGGCGGAAGTCGATCCAAAAGCCAGAGCGCGGCCATCGTTTCGTAGAAGCACCGTGTGACCCTTCATTGCCAAAACCTGGACATAGAATTGCCCGTCCAAGAAGTCTGGAATGCGACTCCAAAGGCATTTGATCCGCAAGCCACAGCATGGCCATCACTTCGGAGAAGCACTGTATGACTACCCCCTGCAGAAACATGCAGAAACCTCTGTGTAGGAAAGTCCTTCATCCAAAATTGGAATGTTGCATTGTCCGTGTAGGTTCATCCCACTGGTTACAGTACGCCCATCACTTTGGAGAAGCACTGTGTGTTCTACCCCGACAGAAACTTGGGTGCATGATATTCCTTCTGGTGGAATACTTGCTCCTAAAATGTGAAAAGGTGCCTCGAGTAACAGCGCAGCCATCACTTCGGAGAAGCACTGTACGAAACGCCCCTGCTGAAACCTGGGTGTACCAGGTTCCTTCCTCCAAAGATGGAATGTTGCACTCTCCGTCCCTTTGGTCGCCACAAGCCACAACATGACCATCACTTCTGAGAAGCACTGTGTATATGACGCTCCTTCATCCAAAGGTGGAATGTCGCACTGACCAAAGTCATTCCTTCCACAAGCCACAGCGAGACCGTCACTGCGAAGAAGCACCGTGTGAGTTCGAATATCTGTAGCCATTGCGATTGCTTAGGCCGAACAACTGTGACAAAAGTCGTCCGAACGTTGAATAAACAAAAAATCCTCTGATAATTTAACGGTTAAGTTAGCCCTGGTTTAGATGGCCCATTTAGTTCAATGGTTTGCCAAAAAAAAGATTGGTGTTTCCAATAGCAAAGAGGGTATCACAAAACCCCAGAATTTGGTGACTTCTGGTGTAAAACTGACTAACCATTTCAAGGTGTGGTTGTATCCTGGCAACAAACAACGGGGCTTTTTGGGCAAATTCTGCCAGATTCTCTGCGATTTGGATCAGCAGGGTAAGCAGTAAGCACATGCTTTCATTGGGATGTCTGGGTGGCGATTTTAAAATATAGCACCGAAGGTCAAAACATATATGTTTTACTGTTGCTTGCACCCATATTGAATTTTGCACCTCAAAATATGCTGAAATCACGTCACTCAGACTTTGTCTCTTACAAGGTCTACAGTCCCTAGGCCTGACCATCGTTCACAATCCCTATGGATGCCACAGATCGTCCTGTTACATCCACGAAATAGACCAAGAACTTGATTCTTAATGTCCTACTGTTGCTTCTGAAAGGTCAATGGCAACTGACCTATGTACAGAGATACAATCATATCTATGTGTATTACCATGTATAGAATTATCTACATATGCACAAAGAAACAAACATAAGTATGCAACATAACGTTCATATCCATATCCGTATTCATATCCATATCTATCCATCCACCCATCCATTCATCCATCCATCCATCCATCATGACATATACCGTACAAAAAAAAAAAAAACAGAAAATCCCAGGTGTGATATTGGTAATGTTCAACATCCATCTACATGTAATGTGGCTAAAACATTAATAAACCGTCCCCCAGTCACTAATCACCATTAATAGCCACAAAAATCACTCACTTTTTTGTGGTTTTACCCACATATAAACCACTCCCAAATGAGCACATAAATAGTCTATATCCATTCCGTACAAAGTGGGGCCCCCTAGATAGCTAAGTTGGTTTATAACTCCAATAACTATGGTTTATGGTACCTATAACTATAGTTAATGGGGTTTATAAACCATCTTATAACTGGGGGGCCCCACATTCTAGAATCTACAGTAACCGCCAATTTGAAGGCCCGACCCGCCAGATTTTCGCCTGGCATTTCTGTCGCCAAAGCCCAGCTTCTCCAGCGCAGCGGGGAGGGCACGCAGTAACGCTGCCTGATGGCCCAGCAAAGAAATATGAAAATGTTAATGTATAATTTTAAATATGTAACATGTTATATATATAATCAATATATATATATAACATAATATAACATAATATAATATAATATAATAGAATATAATATAATAAAATATAAAATAATATAATATAATACAATATAATAAAATATAATATAACATAATATAATAATTTGATATAATAATATATAATAATTAATAATAATATATAATATAATATAATATAATATAATATAATATAATAAATTATAATATAATATAATATAATATAATAAATTATAATATAATATAATATAATATAATAAAATAAAGTATAATATAATATAGTATAATATCAGTATAATATATATATATAATACAATATAATAGTAGTATAATACAATATAATATAATATACTGAAATAAAATATAATATAATATAATTTTAGTATAATGTAATATAATATAATATAATATATAATAATATAATTTTAGTATAATGTAATATAATATAATATAATATTAGTATAATATTATACAATACAATATCATAGTAATATGATATAATATCATAGAATAGAATAGAATAAAATAGAACAAAATATGATATTAGTATAATATAATATAATATAATATAATATAATATATTAGTACAAAATAATATAATATAATAAAATATAATATAATATAACATAATACAGTATTATATAATATCAAATAACATTATATAATATTATTTAATGTAATATAATATAGCAATTAAATCATATTATATCATATCATATTATATTATATTGTATTATACTATCGAAGGAAGTTTAGAAGTCAAACTTCCGACAATATGGACAGATGAAAAGCAGAGCAGGGAAGAGGCAGAGAGAAGAGGAAGATTAGAAGAAAGAAGAGTAGAAGAGAAAGAGTAAGAAGAAAGAAGATGCAGATGCGCGAAAAGGTAGGAAAGTCGCGAAACACTGTTTTTTTCAATGAGGTGTGGCTCCGGAGGGTCGAGAAGTAGGCTCGCTAAAGCGGCGGGTGCGGAGCCAGCTGGCCAGATGAGTGATGAAAAATTGCACGCCGTTGTGGCGCGAAGCACATTCCCAAGTCAAAATGTACAAAACACACCATTCTCGGACCACTTTTGGAAGTTGAGATGTCGAAAAAGTGCACGCCGTTGTGGCGCGAAGCACATTTCCAAGTGAAAATGTACAAAACACACCATGGTCGGACCACTTTTGGCAGTTGAGATGTCGAAAAAGTGCACGCCGTGGTGGCGCGAAGCACATTTCGAAGTCAAAATGTTAAAAAACACTAGGGGTTCGGACCACTTTTGGAGGTTCAGATGTCGCTTCGCTTCCCTTCACTACACTACACTACATTATATACACTACACTGCACTACACACCAGTACATTACACTACATTACACTACACTACACTACCTTCCACTACACTTCACTACATTACACTCCACTCCACTACACTACAACTAAAACTACACCAACTACACTCCACCACACTCCACTACACTACATTACACTACAACACACTACACTACACTACACTACACTACACTACACTACGCTACCTTCCACTACACTTCACTACATTACACTACACTACTCTCCACTACACTACAAATACAACTACAACTACACAACTACACTCCACTACACTCCACTAGACTCCACTACACTAAATTACACTACACTACACTACATAACACTACACTACACTCCACTACACTACATTACACTACACTCCACTCCACAACACTACAACTACAACTACACAACTACACTCCACTACACTCCACTACACTCCACTACACTACATTACAATACACTACACTACATTACACTACACTCCACTACACTACATTACACTTCACTACACTACCTTCCACTACACTTCACTACATTACTCTACACTACACTCCACTACACTACAACTACAACTACAACTACAACTGCGCAACTACACTCCACTACACTCCACTACACTCAATTACACTACACTACACTACATTACACTACACTACACTCCACTACACTACATTACACTACACTACCTTCCACTACACTCCACTACACTAAATTACACTACACTACACTACACTACATTACACCACACTACACTACATTCCACTACACTCCACTACACTACACTACATTACACCACACTACATTACACTGAATGACACTGCACCACAGATAGGTAGGTAGACAGATAGACAGATAGATAGATAGACAGATAGACAGGCAGACAGCTAGACAGATAGACAGATGAAAGCGAGAGAGAGAGAGAGAGAGATAGATAGATAGATAGATAGATAGACAGGTAGACAGCTAGACAGATAGACAGATGAAAGAGAGAGAGAGAGAGAGCGAGAGAGATAGATCGATAGATAGATAGATACATAGAAGATAGATAGGTAGATAGGTAGATAGTCAGAGAAAGAGAGCGAAAGAGAGGAGACCTCAAGCACCTTTCGGTCCATCAGTCGATTCGCTCTGCCATCCCTGATTCACAACAACCAACCTCTCCTATAGTTTTTCCATTTTTGAAACTTCCGCCACCGCCTTGTGCGGTACTACTGGTATATCAATATATCAATATATACATGGCCATATGGCCATGTATGCTAAATCCAACATGGATCTATGACAAATATGCCCAGTTCATACAAAATACATCGAAATACAACTCCACAAGATCATTGAGGCGATCACTTGAATCAAGGAGACGCGATGGTTGGCCAAGCACATTCTGATCGTTGTTTGTTGACTTATCTGTCTATTCATTCATTTGTTCACAGCTAAATAGATTGGATGAGATTCGATTTGATTCGATTCGATTGGATTGGATTGAAATTAGATTAGACTAGATAGTTAGATAAATATATCCTACATTTCTTGGCAAAATTCTCAATTTCCATTCGTCCGACTCCCATGTTTCCAGTGAGCCACGCCTCAAAGTCCACGGGTCTCATGCCCTGCAGCGAGGCCGCCGCAGCCACGCGCTCCTCCACCCCCAAGCGCCGAGGCGTGGCGACAGCGCGCGGGGAAGCTGCCTGAGGCTGCGTGACTAGATGTCAAAGCAAACCCCCCATCCTTGGGAGCTCATGTGGCACCTCAACATCCCCAGTGGTCCCGTTGCCCAGCCCATGGTGCCTTGGGCATCCGCTCCGCGCGCCGCCGTTGCGAGGTCAGGTACGGCGACCGCGGCCGCACCGCCGACGCCGGCGACGGCGACGGCGGCGGTGGTGCCACAGGTGGCGCCACGTCGAGCGCCGGCGGCAATGCCGTGGGTTGCACGAGCTGCTCGGGGTCCAGGCCGTGTAGAGCCTCCTCTCAGCCCTGGAATGTTGGGATTTGTGATGGGTTTTTCACCACAAAACTTGGGGAAAATTTAGAAGATTGGGGTTGAACCTTCTTTTTGGGGAAGGACTGAAATAGCTTTCAATTGGGGCTGCACCTCAGGTCCATAGAGGTGCCGCAACTCCAACATCACTCGGCGCCGGTGCAGCTCATTGTGAATGCCCATGAGGTGTAGGTCCTATGGCAATTAGGTTTTGACCAACTAAAGTTGAAATTCAGATTTAACCAAGGAAACTTGGAAATCAATGAAGATTTTTGTTGAAAGCTCCCAACAAAAACTTGAGTCATTGAGGGATTGAACTCTATTTAACTCACTTAAAATGTGGAGATTTTCATTGGGGATCAGTCAAAATCTATGATTCTCCCAATTCAATGGAGGCATGATCCACAACCGGCTGTTTTTGTCACCGGGGTGATGTCAAGCCCAGACTTGTTGTGACCCCGGGCTGATTCAGTTAGATAGCCCATCTTTATAGCAAATGATATCACTTCTGTGGGGGTGGTGCCACCTTTTTCTAAGTGGTCAGCCAGGGTTTGTAAATCCATGGTCGACATGAAAAATTTTGAAGATTAAGGCGTCAAATAGCTCAATTCCTGACTTCTATGCACTTTGGGGCAGGTAGTAAAGGAAGGAGAACAACTCTTGGTGTTCTTTTGCGTATTTCATGTATTATGTAAATGCACACACATATGTATGCGGCCAGTGTGCATGCATATAGTATAAGGTCACCCCAGGATTAATAACCCTGCAAATTGTTATATAATTAATTAGGGTAGAGTCTTCATAAAATAGTGATTCTTGTTGTAAATGCTGCCCCCATATTCTTAATCCCTGGATGGCAATACCTACATAATTAGCTCTCACCAACAACAAAAACTACCTCAAAGTTGCTTTTTTTATGAAGAATAATAACTATATGGTGGTTTCCTAAAATAAGGGCACCCACCCCGTTATCATCCATTTTAGTAGGAATTTTCCCTTATAAACCATTCATTTTGGGGACCCCCATATGGTTCTGTACTGAACCGATCCCATTGGTTTCCGATATGATTGGAGCTTCGAATACCATCCGAAACAGCTGGTACATTGGATCCCCACAAACAGCTGGACTGCCTGTGAGTATATGCAGTATATACACATGAGAAGTATTGTATATACTATATATATAGATAGTATATACACATGTATACATATTTACATTCTATACATATATATATATGTGGAACAAGTAACCCAGCTTGTAGCAGCCCATGTTTCACCCCCAGTTTCCTCCACTCTCAGGTCCACCGCCAGCAAGCCGTTCACCAAGTGGTCCTGGTGTTGAACAGATGTAGATGTGGAAAACCCAGGGGAAACCCCTAGGGAAATGATGGTCAAAAATGGTGGGTTTTCCACATCTATGTAAAGGTTTACAGGGGTAGTTGATTCTTCTGAGGATGGTTCTGGGAAAAATCATGGTACTATAAATACTCAATGTTTCTTGTGGGTATCTCATCCAGGAAATATGATAAAAATAATGTAAAATCATGTATAGATTCTTGTAAATGGGGACCAAACTGATTTTGTACATCCATAGCATCAAGGGCCAGGGAATTTCAAACAGAACAACCCAGAAATTCTGATCTACTCGAGGTCCTGATAAAAAAATGTGGATTTTTGCGGTTTGGAACCTCTTAGTAGCTCCTTTTCGCTCCCTCCAAATCCCACCAGCTAGACAACTTTGTCACAAAAATGGGGAAGCACTCAACAAAAAACCAGACATCCAATGAGAAAATCATCTGTACATGGTTGGATTATGTTGGATTGTCCATTATCAACGGTTCAAAAACCCTCACTTTACCCCACTAAAACTGGCCATTTTCAGATCGTCCTCGAAGGAACGTGCGATGCAGGGGGGCAGACCGCGACATTCCAACCACCGGGCCAGCTCCGATTCATTCCAATACCTTGGGGCTTTCAGGTTAGTTGAACGGAAAATTGGTAATTTACCAAAAACACCTGGGAAAACCGAGGTGAAAACGATCTTTTGGCGTTCTTTTTCATGTTGGTGGCGAAACCAAAACTCTAAACTTGGCATGAACCGAGCCGTAGGGATTCATCAAAAACAGGTAGAAACTACCAGTGGCCTGTTTAGGTTCGTGATGGGTACATACCTACCATATCCTACCGTACTCAAAAAAGGCCAAGTTCGGACCTTGGACCGGAGGGGTCGAGTGACACCGGTGAAAGGTGGAAGAATTCCCCACGGCATTCGCTCGACATGGCATTCGACACGTCTTCTGAAAAGCAAGTGGCCGCCACTGCAACGTTGCAGGTGTGAGTTCACTGGATGCTTCTAACTCTAAGTTACAAGAAGGGGGAACACATTCAACTTGGGCTTCTTGTGGTAAAGAAATAGAAAACCATCCTAAGATCTGCCATAAATGGTGGTATAAACCATCAAATTATGGGTGGTTCATTGTACATTCAATGTGGAGTTGACTTGAAATGAGTGAGGCCCCTTTGTGCGTGCATCTTTCATCTTCAGCCAAATCTTGCGGCAATCGGCAGCACTGTGCCTAGAGGTGATGGGTGCGTCAACTGAATGAGGTGATGACTACCGGGATGAAATCAATATAGATGGAATCAACATGAAATTCAACTGAGGCTCAGATCTAACCATTGACTTCGGTTTCAAAGGAGTTGACCAAGATTCAAATTTAGCAATCACGAAGTACTATCACCATGCTTGGCACGAGTCTTGGGGCTTCACTGGGTTGATTGAAGAGGACCCTCTTCCAGGTGCATTAAAAAAAAAACGGTGTGTAGTGCGGGATGCTTTTGAAGCCTTAAGACCACCGGAAACTACGAGTCATATCTGATCCATGTGGGACGAATGGATCATCTTTTTTTCCAATAGCCCACCTGCTCTCGCTGGGTCAGGAGCGACTCTGCGTTGTACTGAGCAATCGTGGCCTTCATCACCTTCGAAAAGGAGAATGGTGAGCTGCTTGTGGGTCATTTGACACTCATCATGAATTACATGAATTATCTTTGGTGAACGACCTAAAACCAAAACCGTTCCATGAAGTTCCATGAATGATTCATGATGAATAAATGATGAATAAATGGTGAACATCCTACAACTGAATACCCTAAACCCCATTTACTTCGACGAATTTGCGAACGAAACCTCCAGGGTTTCAGAGTTTCCCAGCTGGGATGAGGTCTCATGATGCCCGATGAAGGCCCTTTTGGGATTGGTGATTCCCTTGTAAAATCAAGCATCTATGTAAATAATATGGCTCAGGTCAGGCCTACAAATCCAAATCAAACTCTAGAAATTGGATGAAGAGATAGCTGATTCCTTCTTCCCGCTAGTATATCAAATACTGCCCCTAAACCCCTAGTTTGGGACAAAACATGTGTTCCCATATGATGGAATTTCACACCATCAGGGGAAAGGGACAATGGGACCACTCTACCACCCTGCCTCATTCGCAATGGAAGGAAGGACGCGCTCATCGTAATCCTCAAAACTGACGGAATGCTGGAGAGATTCTAACTCCTTCAGGCTTTGATATTTTTTTGTAAAGTAATAATCGCAACAGTAAGAGCTGTCTGGTCACCTTCACTCCTCAGAGATTTCGGAAGGCTTGGAGCTATCCCTCCACAATACCACTATTCGGAAGATCTCTGGAGATGGTGTGCAATCTACCACATTATAATCGTTCCATTCGTCATGTTTTTACCCACGATATTTCCATAGAAAATCATAGAAATATAGACATTAGATAACATTAGATACAGATAGATACAGTATATAGTTATATAGTGATTAAGCTGACCGCGGGTGGGAAGTGACATTTGCGCCAAAAAAAAAAGACTCCTGTCCTCTCCCAACGTTCGGTGAATTGTGGGAAGGCCCTCAATCTGTGGCTTGAAGAGCATTCCTGGCAGAGACGTGCAACCACGAGCCGTTGTGGGACAAGAATGCAGAAATGTAAGCAATGAAACTGTTAAAATAACCAACAAAATGGTGGAATTATTCATTTAACCTGGGGAGGGAAAAAAAAAACAAAGTGGGGTGGATCGACCTAATCAATGGATATCAAGGGAATGCACCAACAGCGGTATCATGAAAAACATGAAAAGCACCAGGTTTGGAGACTATTCCGACGATTCACCACTTCAACATCGCCGTTCGCAAGCAGCTCACTGCCAGGTTTCACCTTCCCCCAGGGACCCATCAAAACGTGCCGTGACTTGCTGATGTGGATGGTGACCATCTGCAAGTCCTGCGCAAGTCATGAATGGATCATTGCATCCAGGGGGATGAAAAGGGAAACACCAGGGGACCAGTCTCTCTGCTTCCATGAGCTCAAATGTGCTATCAGAGCTGCACGGACAACCAGAAGAAATATATATAAACAAGGAATGCTGTAGATCAGTTATACGCTATACCCACCAAAATAGGACCAGCCGACTGCAGCCCTGAAAACTGACAAAAATAGCGTTTTCCAATCGGATTTTCTTAGACCAGGAGTGGAAATGCTGACAACCCTGGAGGCGAGGGGCTTACCGCAACCAAAGAAGCAAATGGTCATGCTGTAAATGTTCAGAGTTTTCCTGATCATTGCGGAGCATGCTCAGCTCATAGCCCATGCTGTATCCTTGATCATCTTTGTATAGCAAAACCCCGGTCTTCAACGTCTTCAACATACCCAACTTGTCGAACAGTTCCTATGAACCCCCTCTTCCCCGTTTGGTCGTTTCAGCTCTGTGATGAAAGTAATTTCGAATTATCATCATCATCACCACCACCATCATCATCATCATCATCGTCATCATCATCATTGTTACAATAGGGGAAGCCAAAAAACGAAACAACCCAAAGCGAAAACTGAACAAAAAGGTATTGGTCAAAGCCTGTACCTGCTATTCACACCAAAATAGCTGGTGTTCTATTGGGATGTTCATCTCAATCAAATGATTTCTCCCAACTATTTTCCGCTCCCGCCCACATCATTTCACTCCCCATCTCCCGTTTTTGGAAGGAAATCCCCATCCGTTTCACACTTGTTTTTTTCGTTCGTTCAGAAGCATTGTTTACTTGGGAATTTACACATATTCGGGACCATTTAGGGGATGTTTCATATTAGGGGGATGGGATTCTCATAGAATCTATGACCCAAACACAGCTCTTTCTCCCCAGAACCATGCCCTCCATGGACCGAGCCGCGGCCTTGGTACCAGTGGTGGTCTGGATGAGCTTCGGCCGCAGGCGGATGCTGTACCACTTGGGCTGCATCAACTGGCTGTTGACCATCAACAAATGGGAATCTAACTATAATAACTGTACTGTATGTGTATATCATGTGTACAATATATAGATATGTACAGTATGTGTATGCATATATATATATATATTGTGATGATGGGCATGCGTAAGTATTAAAAACAACATGCCTGGGAAAAAAATGGTAAAAGGGGGAAACTAGGACAAGAGAGGTTGGAGGTTGGTTGGGAGGTTGTTATGTTTTTGTTCTATATTGTAAATCTAAATGTTTGACTGTTTCTTTTTGATTATCTTGCTAAATGTTTTGTTGAGGTTGTTGTGATAATGTTTGGTTTGGATGAGCGTAGGTTTTGTTGAGGGTGTTTTGGCTGTTATGGTTTTTATGTTGTTGTTCAATGTTTCTTCCTTATCTTTGATGTTTATGTGGTGGGGGTCTTGGGACTATTTTACCCCTAACTTTCACTTGATGGTTTGGTTTAAGATGAGGGGGATAGTTGTTTAGACTGTTGTGGTTTTTGTTTGTGTTTGGGCGGGTGATTACTTCATATATATTTTGTTAAGATATTATGAATTAATCATTTATGCTTTCCACTTTCCTATTCCATCCCACCAGTGTTCAATTATCCTGACTTGACTTGTGATAGGTTTGTCTGTAGCATTCAGTTCATCTATTGCTAATGCTAATAGAGTTTGATTTATTGCCATAGCATCCCATTTTCCATCACAGTTAAGTTCCTTACCACAATCAACGATGACCTTTTTATCAGTGAGGTTTTCATACATTTTTTTCATAATGTCAAAATTTACAAACGAATATATTATCATAGCATTTATTCCTTGGTCGTTTTTCAATCTGTTAATTACTTTCTTCCAAAATTTGTCTCCTTCCTCATCATCTGGTGAAGGCATAGGATGACACCTTACAAAGTCTCTAATCTCTTCATCTTCTTTTTCTATTGCTTTTCTTTCCCAGTCATCGTCTTCGCTTTCACTACCAAAGTCAGCATATAAACCGATATTACCTATATCTATAACCTCAATTTTTGCTCTACTCATTTTCTCTTATTATATATAGTTGTTTTTTTAAGTATTTATCACTTTTTGTAGGTGCTCTTTTATTTCTTCTTGATTACAGTATTTCTCATAACCATTGAACAGTTCTTCGGTGTATTCACGCAAGAAATTTTCCAAAATGTCTTTTATCTTGAACTCCACATAAAAGTTCGTTCAACATCAGGAAACCACCAGCATCTTCGTTGCTTACTGTGATTGATGAAGTTAAGGTCGTGAAAGTTCTTTAGAATATGATAAGTGTATTTCCAATGGTTTTTGACATAAGACTTAATCGCTTGAAGATATATCTTATCTTTTTGAAATTCTACCTTCAGTTTATAGGTGTCCATTAAAGCATCTATTTCTCTCTTCATTACTCTAACATTTGTTCGGTCGGTGTTGGATAAATAGATAGGTGATTTCTCCATCCTTGTTTTAAAGAAATGTATTTGTTTTTCAACTCTTGTTAGTTCTTTCTCTTCAAAATGGTCAAAATGATAGTTGAATGTTATATATTTGCGTTCCTTATCATTCAACTCTTTACATTTAGAACAGTGAAGGTTGTAATTACATATCTCATCACAAATTCTAGCAGGGAAAATTTTGTTCAATAAAACCTTTTGGTTAGTCATTTCTTTTTTACAACACCCACAGTTTTTATATGTAAATAGCATCCTCTTACTATATATAGTCATTTTTTCTTTAAGTAGTTTTTGGGGGCTCGTTCAGTTTTCGGGTTCGGGTTGGTTTTTGTTTTCCCTTTCCTCCTCTTCCAGTTCCTTTATAACCATATCAATTTCACTCATTCCTTCATTGGGGTCTTGCCCATTGGCGAGGTTTCTTAACCTCTCAAAATCCTTCACTTTGTGTCTTTCATTGGGTGGGAGGGTTTTGAGATGTTCCTTCAACTCTGTCAGGTCAAAGTATGTGTCTTCCTCTTCATCTTCATTTTCCAAAAACATTTCCATTCTTTGCTTTTCCATCACCATAAGTTTGTTTTCCATATATTGGAATTTCATTTGCTTCTTGTAGCACTTGCCACACACATTCACGAAGGTTTTGAGCAAGTAGTTCCAATTTGGTTGGTTTCTTCCGTTCAGGGTTATAACATCTGTCATAATACGACATCCACAGTCAAATTTAGTCATCTTATTTACTCTTACTATACATAGGTATTTGTTCTTTAAGTATAATATTTATTGCTGATAATTTTAAAAATCTAATATTATGATATATGGCAAGGAGACTATCACGAGATGACATCATAAGCAATGTCTATTACAATCTTGAAACGGGCTTCGGTTCAATCAATGAGACCCTTAAGAAAGCCAAGGAACAAGACCAGACCATCAACAGGGTGGATGTGGAAAACTTTATGAGGAAATAGCCCAACAAACAGATTAGAAAATACAGAGGTTCAAACTCCTACACCGCACCCTTCGCAAGGTTTGAGTATCAGATTGACATAATGGATATGAAACCCCTTACCAAAGAACCAGAGACAAAAATTCCCATCAAGAACGACGAACCGAGATATGGGTTGGTGGTCATTGACATCTTCAGCAAGTTGGCAAACGTCGTCCCTATGAAAGAAAAATCCGGACCAATTACATTATCGGCGATGAAAGAGAGTTTCAACAAAATGGGTTTTCCAATGTCCGTTTATAGTGATAATGACCGTGCCTTCCAAGCAGGGGTAAAAGACTTTTTTGAGAAAGAAGGCATCACTCACGTCGTCACCCTAACACACTGTCCTAGTTTCCCCCTTTCACCATTTTTCTGGGAGATGTCGCTATTTTGATAAAGGTTGAAGGGGATTTCATGGAAGTCTCCAAGAACTTGGCCAAAGACCATGGGCCCTTGTGGAAATTCAGCAGGGGCTTCACCCCTGGAAAATATGGAGGCCTCGAAATCCATGGAGAAAACAAGATCTCAACAAGAAAACAATCGTGTGGAGATGGGGTTACCCAGCCAAAAAAGAAACTTGCCTAGGGGAATGATGCTATGAACAAACTGCGACCCGAACTTCATGTGATGGACCCACCTATTCCCTCAAGAATCATGGATACCGATCATGGAGATCTCTCGAACCCCCAAATGAGAAAGACCCTTCTGTCTGCAACAACTCTGTTCTCACATCTCAAGAATTCTATTGGATTTTCCCAAGACTCACCTGCCAACACTCAGCAACTTTTCCAAACTCCAGCCCATCGCCGGAAGTTGTGGTCGAGTGGCCCATGGCACTTTGAAGTGTGTGCCTTCACCCCTCACCTTCTCCTGGCGGAAGAACTTCATGGGAGACCCAAAACAAGTAAATTCACATAAATTTTGGGAGACCCAAATAACATGTTTTAAATATTCAGTCTATAGTATTATTATCAATTATCAAATTTAATATGTAATTATGTTGGGTCACAAAATGATAAACCAATACACACGAAACCGCCAAAAATGACTGGTGGTTGCACAAATAAGTGGGGGATGTGCTCTACTTTGGGATGCAACCTCAGTTTTCATAGCTGTGCTTTTCCAACCTTTTAACAAGGCGAACACTCTTCCCAACTGTGACATCCCAAATGGTAGCGCTGGGAGTGGAAGTGGTGAGCTGGTGCTTCCCTGTTCGGACCCAGGCCCTGTCACCTCTACACCTGTGAGCATGTTCAGCATGACCACTCTCTGGCCGCCATCCACCTCAAGTCATGTCCCATTCTGCCCCTCGTTTCTCATTGTCTGCATCCTCAATGTGGTAAACCCAATACATGATCTTCAATTCACACAGCTGTGTTCCGAAACGGTGTTATTGTAAAATTATTATTTATGAAATCCAATTGTGTTTATCATTTTGTTCGCCATCAAATTTTGCCATGATATCGGGAAACTATATCATATCATTATCACATCTTCCATTTTGAGACACACTCTTTGGAGACGACTACCCCAGCAATGTCAATCTTTATTCCTTAAATCCCCGAAAATGTTCCATCATTCGATGATTTTCCCACCATTTCTGGGGATTCAGCCACGTATTGCCAATCAAGAACATAAATCTTTAATAATGTTTTATTTGGTTGTTACAGTAATAATGATGAACATAGATGACAAACGATTGTTACAACAACAATCAATGACTATAGTACCTAGTAACAATGATCATTGTTGATCATGATTAATGATTGTGATTACCCTCTGGTAAATTGACATAGCTATGTAAAATCACCATGTTCATAGGTAATTCAACTATAAATGTGCAATTTTAAATAGCTATGTGACACCAGATGGCAACGCTTCCATCACAATCCATTCATTGGAAGGACATCTCCCATTCGTTTTGCACAAGCTCCGGGATTGCCCTAGGCGCCCCCGGCATCGTACAAGCACAGAGAGGGGATCATCGCTGCAGTGCCAAGTCCTGCCATGGTGACTTGTACTGATATATGTTCTATATATATAGATATATATAGCATATATATAGGGTAATGTCACTCCCCTCAGTTGGGACACAGCTCGTATGATTGTTGCGAGATACTTTAAATGTGGGTCTGAACATGGTGAATTCATATGTTTCCGTCCTATGGCCATTGCTTGATGAGGGAAAACCCTTGGTGGAAGGTGTCCAAAACCTTGAAATGGACTTGAGATACCGGCGCACGGTCTTTAGGACACCCTTGCTATGCAAGAAAATGGCAAACCTATCTCTATGGTGTTGATGGGCCTTGACATTTGGTCCATATCCATGGATTTTGGTAAAGTATCTATCAATCTTTGCTAAACTCCCCAGTTTGAGTTGTTATATATAATCCGTGTCGACATGGTCAGTACCCCACGGAGATGGCAAAATGACAGGTTTCGAGTTCTCCCCGTGTTACCTTGTGGGTGAAATTGGGTGAAATACAATTGTCATTTTGCTGACTATGTTTGAATTTTTTGAACTTTTATTCAGAGGTGGTGGAATTCCCAATTTTCGCTCAAATTCCAACGAATCGGAGTTTCAGACTCATCAAAATCTGATAAACCTAGGATAAACCTACGATCAACCTATGTTATCCCCCCAGAAAAAAATACCCCAGCCCGTTGCCGGCTCCTAGACCCAGGCGGTAGACCCCCGTCAGGATTCGATCGACCTCGGGTGCAACACGATGTGTAAGTTTTGATAAACCAGAACTGTTTAGTTGTTTTTGTTTTTTTAGTTACAAAAAATATGTTGATTTGCGTTTTACGGAAGAAAAATTTTTGACATATGGGTTGGGCCCGAAAGTCAGCCGCTTCTCGATGGCGGAGAAACCATTCGTTGATGTGCTCCTGTGCTCCCGGCACCGGGTTGCGACATGCTGAACACCTTAGCCCGGACCAAACATGGTTGTGGGCATGTTGGTTAATGAACACTGTATCTTGATGGTTATCATCACCTTTGTTTGGTGTTGATTATTTTATTATGATCGTTCGTGTTGTATCATATATGGGCCATGGGGTTTCTTGAAATGCAGGATCCCCAAAACATCCCAAAACCATCAATTTCAATACCAAACTGATTTGGATGATTTGGATGATTTGGGGTACCCCCATGACTTAGAAACCTCCATATAAAGACATGTTTGTAAATGTTTGCACCAAAATCCTGACCAAACCGAAGAAGGATGATCTCTGTGGGATTCGTGGATCAGTGTACGAGATTACTTTTCGCCCCACTTGAGTGGTTTAATTTGGAAGAACGATATGTTGTATAATCCTGAATTATCCCAAATTCATAAATCGTAGCATCCCCAATATGAATTGTATCATCGCCAAACCAATTTTATACTAGGTGTGTTTGAAGAAACCCACATTCAGAACTGCCAGGGGGCCACAAAATCGCCGCTGTTGGCGGATGCTCGGTGTGAAAAACGGCGTTTGCTGTGAGCCGAAAATTCCGCAGTTGACGCCGGGGACGGTGATCCAAAGCCAAGACCCAGGACATTACAAAGGTAATTTGGTAAATAAAATACTCCCAACTGGTGTTTTTCCAACCCACTTCTGGCAAAGTTGGGGACCGTTCACTCTGGAATTTTTGATGCATAATTTCTTCGACAAAACACGTTCAGGATCAAGAAGCTGCACTCACTCGCTTCCTATTTGCAGTTGGGTTTGGTGCGCAACCAATCTTCCCCATTTCAGAAAGCTGCGACACCAAATCAAGAAGCAACCTCTCGGCATCTGCAGGGACATCCAATGCGTTGTTTAACAAAGCAGCACCGACATCGCCCCTGGAGGGAGCATCTGCAACATTGCATCTAGAGGGCACTCTTGCCAGCCATGTGAAAGTATGAGTCACCGCTTCAAGCTCCACGTTCTCTGCAAGGAAATCCACAACGCTGTTTTCAGAAATCCACGTAACAACGAAAATTTTGTACCTTCGTTGTCAACAAACAAAAAGCGTCTAAAACTCGCTACAGATGGGTGAAAAGGTGAAAGAGCGCTCTCTCTTCGAAAGGGGCAATAGCCTCGACGCCACGAGGCACAAAAGAAAATTTCCCTTTGTGAAAGGTGTGCCGATCATGCGGTCAGGCCACAGCCCACCTGCAACCCCCCCGGCCAGGGTTTCAGATGTGCTCCCGTAGCTCGCACATCAGTTCGCAAGGGGAAAGGGGTGAAAACATGTGCAGAAAATGAACCTCTCACACTGCCGCGCTACAACTGCACACGCTCAGCAAGCTGCACGGCTGCGCGCATCTGCAGCCATCCGCATAGAAGAACACTGGCAATAGGGGGCACGACACCTTATATGGCAAAAATCGGCAGAAACAAGCTTTTTACGCACGTGGCCATGAAGGCCGCCCCAACCTCAGTCAGGGAAAGGGTGCAACGGCTCCACCGTTTCCTCCGTGCAGCCCCCTTTGTAAATCAATGGAAAGACGCTCCTGCAACTGTTGCCAGGTGTGACCAGGGGGGACATGGTGTCAACCATCTTTGCCAGAGATTGAAGGAGGGTAGCTGTTTCGCCACAAAACCCACCGGTACTTTCAAGAACGAGCGGTTCAAACCCTAAGTTTTGTCGTGCGCAACGTTGCTGCATGTCGGTGTGTTTCCGTTTCAGGTTCGTATGCCCATCTCCTGTTTTGCAAAGCAGCGGCTGAAACTAACTCACCTTTTTCCACTTGAACCGCAGGGCCTGAGTTTAGGCATGTAATTCACATGATTTTCATGTGTATTCAAAGCTATTGCAAATGTCCAAGACTTCTCGATTTGTGCTGTGTCATCCTGATGCAGGTGGCCATGCAAACATGTGAGTACAACCGGAATTTCTTTGCACTCCTCCTTGGTGTGCCTGAGTTTTAACTGGGCACATCACCCAAGAAATTGTCACAGCCCCTGCATGTTTCCAGACACAATTTTTCCTTTTGAAACATCGTTGCTTCCAATCACAGGCATTGATTGACATCGCCTGTCTTCTCTTTGAGAATCTTCGAAAGCAAAAGGGAGGCATTAATTGGGGAGTAGCCTCCATTCCCCTTTTCCATCATCTCATCCAAACCTCAAATTGAATTTCGATAACTTGCGGCATAGTCCACGTACTGGTCTGCCAAGACTCCATTACCCCTTTGACGGGCACGTCTAGACAAACCTTCCATTCTGTCAGCCATACGCTGAAAAGTCTCACGTCTGGCATCTCGATCACGTAGGTCGTGGGTCTGCAATCGATCCAGCAAGATCAGAATTGTATGTTGAAGCTCTGCAGCATCATTCCAGGCTGCTGAAGTCAAAGCCTGGTCCAATTCTGTCCGTAGGTCATCGATTGTCACCTCAAGTTCTCCACGACGTGTTGTGAGATCTCGAGATGGATTGAGAGTCACATCATCCACCTCCATGTCTGAGGTAGGATTGGAACTTTCTGCGTTCTCTCCAATCCTTCTTGCATTGGCTCTGTTATTGGCTGTTGTGGCTGCCATTGCATTTGAACTTGTAGCGGTTGACTCTGGCTCTACTGGAGGATCTGTATCCTCACCATGGGTGTAACCCCTGGACTGAGTTCGGATCGTCCTGAGGTATTGGCTGGCACCCATAGTTGTCCTTGCAACCAAATTGCCACGTTCCTGTGTATACATGTGGCGCCTTTGAGCTGCTGTCAGCTCGCGGGCTCGAACGTATCCGCCCACTTCCACCAAACCGTAGTGCAAGCCGTCTTGTCGGTCACTCAAGGTTTCCATATCTCCTTCAAACTGTGCAAGTTGATTTGTCAGCATGACACATCGCTGACTCACATCATCCAACTGCAAACGTAAACCATTGACCTCATTTCGAAGTTGTGGCACTGCAACCATGTGTTCACCAATGGTCGTGTCAGCTTCGGCAACTTGAACAGAAAGATGGTAGAGGTCGTGAAGTAGTCTCTTCACGTAGCGGCGCACTACAAAACATCCAATTGCAAATGCGATCAGGATGAAAACCAAAAGCATCACTCCAACTTTGAACCACCACTTGTCAGTTGGAGGGGCTGAGTCTGTCATGCATGTTGACTGACCCATCGCGCCTGTTGGCCCAAGGCCCATTGTTGCAATGATTCTGGCAACCATCTTCGCCAGCTGAGCCATGTCACGTCCACCAGCACGTTGTGATGTTTCTTGAAACTCCTCCTGCCCCACACGCTCCTCTCCAAACTTCAGGAAAACACCAAGTTGGTTGAGTAGCAAACGCAACCTCTTTGAGCTAAGCACTTTAGTGCCTGCGTCAGCTACATTCCAGATTGTGGAGATCTGGGACAGGATCACTTCTTTCTCTTGAACCAAGTTCTGAATCCAAAGGATCTTGGCGCTGAGGTGTTTGATTTTGCCGACTCCTTGTCTGGCGGCAAGTTGGCGTGCGCTACTGCTGTCTGTCAGCAGGTAGTGTTCAATGGTGGCCCTTGTAATGAATTCTGCACAACGTCGCAGAAACAAACCATCGGCCAACGTTGAAACCATTCCATGAAGTTCACTCTCACAGGAAGAGAGGCTAACCACTCTTTGAGTGCGGCTGGAGCCAAACATGTAGGCACCGCACAGAAGATGCATACCAGCTGAGGTTGATCTACGGTGTCTCTTGTCACCTGACCAATCACTGTCACTGAAGCTTTCGAGAACCCAAAACTTGTCATTGGATTGCTTCCATCGTCCACTGCCACCAACGGGTTGTTCAAGCACCACTGCATAGTCCTGGGTAGATTTCAAATATCCAACCAGCTTCTTCAAACTCTGCAGTGATCCAATGGTAGGTTTGCTCATTCGAGAAGCCAACTCCTTGACAGGAAAGACGATGTCAGGTCGATCTCTTGAGAGGTATAGGCAGACTCCAACTGCCATTCTGTAAAAGCTTGCATCACTTCCTGAGAGTTCCTTTGTTGTATCCTCACGCTGCAAATTGGCATCCCCAGGCATGGATTGTAAACGCACATGTCCAAGTTTGGCTTCCACCTTCTGAACCAAACCATCAATGTTTGTACCTGGGATCAAAGCCAAACCACCTTGTAGGCGCTTGATGCGGCGTTTGAGGAAACTGATTTCACTTCCAACATCTCCCAGCTCATTGTAGCTCACTGTGAAAGCCTTCTGGAAAGCGGGGAGAAAAACCTCATTCCAAAACTTTCGAGATCCTGCATACATGATGTCATCCACATGGGTAAGTAGACAGAACTCCACTCCTCTGCACAAACAAGGCTGCTCAGGACACCATTCAACGTTGAAGGTCTTGTCGAGGAAAGCTCGCAAGAATTGATACCAGCTTCTGGCACCTTGCCTTTGTCCAGGCAAATTCCTGAGCACCACATAGCTCTCATCACCAACCTTGATCTTCAGCACTTCAGGTTGTGGAACCATCAGGAATGCGTCCTTGACATCCAATGTTGCAAGAATCCAGTCACTGTCAGTGTCTGTACCTTCAGCTGCTTGGTGATCAGCGGTCTTTTGCAACCAAAGAAGGGGCAAAAGATTGAGCACATGGGTCGAGCTTGCAGGTGCAAAAGTGTCTTCACGGCGTTCAAGGAATGCATATTCACGTGCAACGCATCGGCTACGTCGAAGCCATCTCTTGACTGCAGGCTGGTCATTGTTGGGACCTTTGTAATCCTTGAGCCGCCAATCATACACAAAACGTGTTGTCAACTTTGAGTGAACTGGCATCTTGTAGTCCTCCTCTTTCATGAGGACACCCATCTTGCAGAGGCGCTGAAGCTCAATGCTGTCGGCCAACCTGTCTACCCAAGCTGGAGGATCAGGAGGTTGCACTGCAGGGTCCAAGCTAGACCACAGTGATTCTGGCATGTTGTCACCAGAAAGTTGGTCCTCACCATTCCATGGATCTTCCTGGTCCATGTGGTCATCCATCTGAGGATCATTGTCTTATTTTTCCAATACCCAAAACCGTGGACATCCAAAATTACAAACGCGTGCAGCTTAAAAACCACAGACAACACCATGCAGGGACAAACAACGTCAAGAGAACAGACAAACACAAAAAAAAAACATAAATATATATATATATACCACCCCATATGAGAGTATATATATATATCTCTCGCAAAACATACGCTGTCGTCGTTCGAAACTCCACTCAAAACACAATGCTCAAATGATCATGCTCGAAAATAAACAGCTTCACTGGCGCACCGGGGTTCAGCACTTTTTCACCTTACAGATGGGGAAATCAAGCCGCCCGCTTTCGCCACGGCCCCCACAATCAAGCCGCCCGCTTTCGGGGGAGAAAGAAAAACGAAGAACACGCTTAAAAGTAGGTGGCGTTCCACGCGTATTCTTGAAAATGAATTAAGGTGCATTCACCAGAATAAAGAAGTAGGGTGGGTGGGGGGCTCAAAAGAAACAACTACCACTAAAAGAAGTGGAACCCACCCTCCCTCCCTTTGGAGGCGCTTACTTGATGTAAGAAACAGCCACACAAAAAGAATATTTGAGTGACATCTAAGGTAACTCTGTTACCCTCTCAAAGCATGGTGTGTGTCATCCTTGCGCAGATGGGCATTCTGGATAAAAGAACATTGCTCACAACGTTCACTGAAACGAAAATAAGGTGACAATAAAAATAACCGCAGGTTCAGAGGTTTCACTTTTGAAAGTTAAACCAGGAATAAAAACCAACCGTTGTTGGTAAGAACCCACAGTTAAGCACAGTCACCACAAACCCAGATGCACGCGCAAAGAGACGCGGAGGGCGCACGCAGAAGACGCGAGAGGAGTCCAACTAGAAGCTGCTCTCAGCTTCTTTTTGGGAGAGGAAAAATAAAGTTACATCAGCCCGCTGAGTCGCAACTTATTTTTCCAATACCCAAAACCGTGGACATCCAAAATTACAAACGCGTGCAGCTTAAAAACCACAGACAACACCATGCAGGGACAAACAACGTCAAGAGAACAGACAAACACCAAAAAAAAAACATAAATATATATATATATATACCACCCCATATGAGAGTATATATATATATCTCTCGCAAAACATACGCTGTCGTCGTTCGAAACTCCACTCAAAACACAATGCTCAAATGATCATGCTCGAAAATAAACAGCTTCACTGGCGCACCGGGGTTCAGCACTTTTTCACCTTACAGATGGGGAAATCAAGCCGCCCGCTTTCGCCACGGCCCCCACCCATGTTTATTGTGGCGCTCTCGCCTATCCTTTGAAAAACTCATGATGCCACTGAAGGCATCCTTTACTTCACCATCCAACACACTCAAATCTCTTCTTAAAAGAGGATGATCTTTAGATCTGGAAGGGAAGCCTGCTAGATTTGACTAAGGGTGAACCCTGCTGAACCAGGTATGAATACCGCATGCGCCCAGATAGGTCGCAGCCAGTGCACTAACTGTTGTTATTCACCGGTGCCAAATAAAGAAACTTCACATGAAGTTGCGGACGTCCACCAGTACATCTATGTCGAATCCAGCGCCCTTCTCAGAAGGCAGGTGCTCTTCCTCCCAGACCTAAAAAAAAATCTCATCATGAAAGACTGCAAACGTACAAATAACACCGGGGTCAATCCCAGTGGCCGTTCCAAACAGTAACCTTTGCATTTACCGGATGCTGCGACATATCATCGATAGGCCTCACTTTACCCGATGGTTCCGAAGGGGAAACCCCCGGGATACTGTAGCATCGTTCTGCCAGTCTTCCCGAAGATAAAAGAGCACCCAGCCAATCATGTTCGCCTTCCTTTAAAGTCTCCTTCCAGGCGTATTGTCAAAATCATCCGAGCCACTGCTGTAAATCATGTACCTCGGGCATAGAAGTTCTCGAGTCTTCCTCCTGTGGCTGCGCAAGGGCCGAGTCCAGACTTCAATCCAGAGAAACAGAAAAGAGAGGTAAGCACACTGAAAGCACTGCAGAAATCGAAAATGAATGAAGCCCACATTGCGTCAGAGATCCACGCTGCAAAAACTGTAAAGCCATAGGCTCGGCCACTCGAACCTGGTACACAACCTGTACCAGCTCCGGTTGACTAAACCCAAAGCAAAATTGTAATGACATGGCAAACTCCTTTGCCACAACGATTCACTGACAACCGTTGGACTCCAAGTGATGTATCTCCTTACAACAGTTGGACTCCAAGTGATGTATCTCCTTTGCCACAACGATTCACTGACAACGGTTGGACTCCAAGTGATGTTAGATAGTGATTGTAGGGCTGGTGTTCGTTCCTGCGACCATTCAAAAACGACGGCCCTCCCCACATGGCAAACTCCTTCGCCACAACGATTCACTGACAACAGCTGGACTCCAAGTGATGTATCTCCTTACAACAGTTGGACTCCAAGTGATGTATCTCCTTTGCCACAACGATTCACTGACAACGGTTGGACTCCAAGTGATGTTAGATAGTGATTGCAGGGCTGGTGTTCGTTCCTGCAACCATTCAAAAACGACGGCTCTCCCCCCCCTTCAGGCAGGTCGTTCTCAAAAATTTTCGTTGACGAGGATGCCACAACGTAGGTTGTATGAAACACAGCTTCAAAGCAGAGTCAACTACATGAGACCTAAACAGGCGAGGCACGTTGGAAGCTGCAACAAATGTGGAAAAACTTTTGGTCCGGTGGCAAGCGGAAGCAACTTTTATGTTAGTCTGCAGAAGCACGGCGGTGAAATGCGACTTTCTGAGTCGCCGTGCAGGTAAAACCCTATTGGGTAATTGACACTCATCTGCCATTGCTACTCAAATTGCTGTAGCCAATGCCGTTGCAACACATGGTGTATATTCTGCTTCCAGAGATGTGTTGAAAAACCGCAATTGCCGACGGACCATGGCGCTTGTTCATGTTGTCCACACATAAAACATTAAAAGACATAACACACTACTGTTGGACACCCGACAAATGCACTTTAACGCTTGCCTGCAAGAAAAAACTGCGCTATACGCAAAAAAGAGGGTCCGGGATCATGTGATGGCTTTCCATTATGAAGTTTCCCAAAGCAAACTCAACAGTGGTTTCACCACTGTCACAGTAACATTGTCAACCTGCAGCTATCTTATCCGTCAATGCATGTAGCTTGGGGAGATTAGCCCTCCGCAGTTCTTACTGCATGCAGCCCTTTTAAACCTGGAATGCCGTCTGGGGATTGGAGTGGAGGTCCATGCATCTGTCAACTAAGGCATCAGAATCACGCACTCTAAGCTGTACTTCCCAGACAGCGCCCCCTGTTCCACCTGTCGTGGCGGTCCTCCTTTGGCAACTCTAAGCAAATGATTGTGGCGCGTTGTTTGCTCACTTTGTGATCAACGCCAAAAACCCGCAGCAAAAACGTCTCATTGGATAGGTCAGGTTACCTGTACCTCGAAATAATTCTAGCTGGATAAGCCTGGTTCTCCAAGCAACGGTGTCACACCGGTATCATTGTTCCCTTGTTCAACTCAACAGGTCTGAGTTTGAGTTCTCGGCTTCCTTCAACCCTCCAGTGGATTCACGAAGAAGTTACTGATGCTCTGTTTGGGGGTGAGCTTTGTAACATCCAGGAACCGCACAAACATGCTTACGTGGGCAAGAGCTTCCCTGTTTGCAAGATCCCAAGTTGTATCCAAAACAAATAGCGTCGCCTTCTGGCGTTCTGGAATGCATTCCCTTCAAGGACTGAGGTACAGGATCTCTTCTTTTGCCTTTGGCACCTTTGTTGGCACCTTTAGATGCTCCCTTTTGGAACTTGTTCTGATTTGCATTCCCCTTGATACCAGCTGAGGGTTCAGGGCGTTTCTTATCTTTGTCACCTTTGTCTGCACTGCTACCACTTTGACCTTGACCTGCTGGAATGGGGAGCATGAAGTAGGTTACTGTCATGTCAGATTCCAAACGTTCAATAAGTGGATCCAAAGGTTTCCCAGCACCAGCGAAAGATTTCAGTGATCCCGTGAATTGCTCACTGATTCTCACAAAGGCTTGGCGGTCAGCCCTCAGCAATTGTGCCTGGGTTACTTTTTGGAAACCTGGTGCTGGAGCTTGAGCATAAAGAGCAAACAAACGATCCACCCACTTTCTCATTACCTCATACGAAGCCAAACCAGTAAGATCCATTGCCAGGGTGCGCCTTTGAAGCGCCTGGTAGAGTGCAAGGTCAGAGCTGATGTTGATCTCTGGGTGACTCTGATGTTCCTTGACTACAAGCGAGGTCTTTGTAGCATCAAGTTGAATCTCCTTTTCCGGTTTTGAGCCCATGAGCTCCTGCTGACGGGACAAGCATCTGTTGGGGTTGATATATGACACCTCATTGCGCTCGATCATGGCCGCGCAAACGTCATATAGTGCATGTGCTGGTTCGAGAGGGCCTTTGATGTCTAAACCTCGTAAAAGCTCTCTCTGTTTTTCTAATCTTGCGTCTCGCTCGGGTTGAGCCATGCGTCGGGGCGTCACTTCGTCCCCTTTTGCTGTTGACTTGAAACCATGCATCATCAGGGTCTGACTCTCGAATAACAGCCTCTTGAATGCCGCTAGCTCTGCTATGGTTGCCGCAACGCCTACCCTCAACGTATTCAGAAACCCATTCACCTGCTCATCCGTGGCCACTGTTCCAGGGCTGGTGATTGCGAAACTAAGCTTTGCAAATGTGGCCAAACCATTGGCCCTAAGTGCATCAATCCAGGGTCCGGTGAGCCCTGCCTCCTCCGATTGCTGAACAAACGTGGCCTCCGAGTCCAAAATGGATGAAGTAGCCATCGCTTTCGGTATCCGGTCAACGAAACGGATAGACGCCAAACCAATCGGCGATTAAGGTATATTAAGACAACCTATGCTTCCTACCATGCACCTACTCAATTCAAACACCAATTAGAAAACCTGACCAACAAAGCGTAACTCAACACTCCTGGACCAAAAGCACCCAGAACTTGTGAACTGTGTTAAGGACCCGGCTCAAACGCTGGGCAAGCTTAAGCCGTAAACATGAAGTTGCTCTCAACTCACCCCACGGCTATTGAACCACAAGCTGCTCTCAGCCACACAATCTCACTGATTGCTCTCAACCAGTCGGGCCCTTGCCCTAAGTTGATCAACATCACTTTTGAGTTGAATTATGACGCCTCCGTCCACATATCCTAAAAAATGATGAAGCTTGTTCACATGGTAAATGTGTGATGATATACACTGTTCCATTTTTGGAATTCACAGAGAACACAACAAACGGGACCCTGCTACAACAAGGAAGCCACTGACTGCGAGGGGAATCTTTTTCCTGACAGGCTCACCTGTCTCTTTGTCTTTTGGCCTTCTGCTGATCCAAGGCTTCCACAAGCCCACGCACGTTGGTGATCACCTCACCCTTGAAACATCTGCTGCACCTTGCATTCAAGGATGAGCAGCCCTTTTCCATCATTTCAAAGTTGGCCGCCACAACGAGCCTTCCACATGCAGTCTGTCGCTCTATTTCTGAGCATTTGTGAACGACGTGACTCCTCTTGTTTCTCCAAACAGGTCCCGGTATGTCGACACTGGTTGCATTCTCAACGCACTCGCTACTACTATCATCAGAGCTTGAACTTGAGGAAGCAATGCCACTTGACTCATCAGCCACCGGGTCCCCTGCATTTGAAGATTTGCGCTCAGTGTCCATCGGCGTAGACGGAGCATAACCATCATCATCTGCTGCACCACCAGCCTGTTGCATCTCTATCTGAGCAGTTCCCGTCAATTGCTTTTCCTGCGGAGCCACTTTATTCTCTGAAATTTTCAAAAGGTCCAACATTCTGCTTGTACGCGACTCATCAGGGCGGAAATGGTCTTTCCTGATGTTTGCAAGCATGCTGCAGTATAGTTGTAGGGGCCGTGTCAACATGTCTCGCGAGTACACAGCCATCGACTTTGCACCCTGAAGTTCATGGTGGCCCAGCAACGTGCGGGATGGCTCATCCAATCCATAAGCGCTGCACCAAGCCAAAGTAGTATGTTTGAAGCTGTGAGATGAAATGGAATTTCCTTCCCCAGTCTTAAGGAACTTGTTGATAAAAGCGCTAACCTCCTCTGAAGTGCATGATCTGGCACAAAGTGTGCCGTCATGTGCAGGCGCCCGGCAGATGGCACCAAATGGCTCGAAGTTGATGTCCACCTTCAACTCCCGCATGGCCTCGACCCAGTGCCTTGACCAATCTGTATCTGTCACTCCAAGCAGTGGTGCAACAAGCGGCATGTACCTCTGCTTTTTAGCCAGGTTCGTTGCCGTCTTATGAAATTTTGTCCTTGCTTCAACGAAACCAAAAGGTTCCCCATTGAATTCAGCACGCTCAATCCAGAATTGGTCCACATGCTTCAAGTCCGACCACCTTGATCTGGACAACACTGCAAAAATGACTGAACCCAGAATGTAAACATCCCTCGAGTCCAAACCCGCATCCATGGCTCTCTCAAGTGTTGCCAATTCCGTTGCTCTAAGAGGCCTGGCAGGATGGTATACATCCTTTGATATCATCAGTCTTTGCGCCCTGCCTCTCAACTGGGGGTCAGACAGCAGCCCCTCTGGAATTGGCAGATCCATCACATACCTGCCGAATCTCAGCGCCTCCAACAAAGTGATACCTTTCGACGCAGGTCCAGCTCGAGCACCAACTTGACCAATGTATTGCAAGCACATCGCTCTATTCCATGGATCCCAGTCTTGAAAGTTTGATTGCAACCAAGAAAAATAACGTAGAAGCGTCTGAGCACGTTTCAAAGCTGTCCTTGGCGATTTTATGCCCAGGGCGTCGCGAAGAACCGCACTCTGTGAAGCAGACGTAGTGTCAACCTGTTCAGAAAGCAACGCATGACCTAGCATCCCAGGAAAACCAAGAATCTCGAAAATCTGCAACCACTTCCAAATCGCCTTCTCCCACAGTAAAGCTTCCTCCATGAATATGTCTCTGTCTGGCACAACTCTGATCGCAAATGAATAAAAAGGAAGTGATGCATCTGAACGCACCAAGCTCTTGGCCGTTGGCCTCTCCGACATGTCCTCTCGGTCTGGAGTTTCCGCACCAGATGCAGAGACTGGCATCAAATAATCTGGTGGAACAGGAGGCAAAACCTTTGGAAAGGCTGAATCATCATCGCTGTCGAAAATCTGTTTCATAATACCGGTTTCCCATGGCATCTTCAATTCAACATCTTGCATTGAACCCATGCGAGCTTCAAAAAGAGCTCTGTTGTAATCAGAACGCGGCACTGGGATCTCTGAGCTCCTTGCGGTATCCTCTGCAGGAAAATGTGGAGCACTGGGACCGTCCAAGCATGCTGAATCATGTTCAAGTGGGAGAAAACCACGACCCTTTTCATCTGCAAAACCTAAATCAGGTTGAGAACCCTCACAAAGACCTTGTTCTGGGGTGACAGGTGCTGCATTTGAGGAAGTATGAGCTCTGTGTGGTGTTTCCAAAACCGTATCGTCATCCGAGGCTCTGGCAGCTGGTCCACTGACCAATGACAAAAAACTGTCATCTTCCAAGCTCCCGTTCTGACCGTCTGTATTCATCTGATCCGCACAAATTATTGAAAATTGCCCAAGCAAATGCCGTGACAAGTCCAACAAAGGATTTGCAAGTCTCACAGAGTTAGAAATGAAGGAACACCTCACTTCCACTTATGCACCACTCTCAGACAAATCCCAAAAAGACCACGTAGATCCCCAAAGCAAAAGTTCACTGACGTAGCCTTACCTCTCAGGATTCACTGCAGTCTGTTCACTCCACCCCCATGGCTTCTCAAAAGAAACAACTACCACTAAAAGAAGTGGAACCCACCCTCCCTCCCTTTGGAGGCGCTTACTTGATGTAAGAAACAGCCACACAAAAAGAATATTTGAGTGACATCTAAGGTAACTCTGTTACCCTCTCAAAGCATGGTGTGTGTCATCCTTGCGCAGATGGGCATTCTGGATAAAAGAACATTGCTCACAACGTTCACTGAAACGAAAATAAGGTGACAATAAAAATAACCGCAGGTTCAGAGGTTTCACTTTTGAAAGTTAAACCAGGAATAAAAACCAACCGTTGTTGGTAAGAACCCACAGTTAAGCACAGTCACCACAAACCCAGATGCACGCGCAAAGAGACGCGGAGGGCGCACGCAGAAGACGCGAGAGGAGTCCAACTAGAAGCTGCTCTCAGCTTCTTTTTGGGAGAGGAAAAATAAAGTTACATCAGCCCGCTGAGTCGCAACATAACTGTCCATTGTGCAATATTCCTCCTCTGCAAACTTGACTGTACGCACCATTGCATTGCGCTCCTCTGTCAGCATGGAAAGTCTGGCCTTCTTTGCTGCCTCTACTTTGGGTCGTTTCTGTGACTGCTCCTCCTCTGTTTCATTCTCATGTATCCTGACTGTAGGATCTCTCCTTGGTGAGGTAGGAGTAGAGGGGGTTTCCAAGAGATGCAAAGGTGTTGTGGGAGCATCCAAACGTAAACTTGGATTGGGAACTTCTTCACCATCTCCATCATCAACAACCTGGGCTTCGTTCTGAGCCACTGGTTGAGCTCCACCTGAACCACTGGGTTGCACCGGGCCGTCTTCATCATTGTCATCCCAGATGTTGGTTGGGTTTGGAAAACTTGTCCCACCAGAAATTTGAACCAACTCCTCCTCAGCTGCAATGCCAGGTCGGTCAAAAAGACTCATCTGTTGGTTTTCCAACTCCTCTTGTTTCTCTTCCCTGGCCTTCTCGATCACAGCTGCACCATCAGCGTCATAGAAGGCTGAGGGTTCAATTGAGCCTTGTGGCTTCTTGAAACTGGCACTGATTGCATCACGGTGTGCCTTGGTTGGGACCACTCTACCTCCAAAGCCACTCTGATAGTCATATGAAGGGCACTTGAAGTTGACATAAAATGCTAGGTGTCCACGCCAATCTGTCTGAATGCGGCGCACTGACTTCACCAAAACCAAGTTTGAGCCATTGTACAAGATGAAGGAATCTTGTGGGTCCACCTTGCCCAAAAACAACATACGAGACCATCGTGCTGAGCCTTTGTTGTTTGTCTTTGAATAGCCAAAAAGGGGCTCACCAAAAACGCATGTTGCTCCTTTGTAACTCTTTCCAGTCACCAGTTCATAGCTGCTCATACCCTGGTTGGTGTTGAACCTGTTCAGTACCCAGCAAGCGTGGCGCATAGTCCAACTCCAAAGCGCATTGGAACTGCTCAACTCAATGCCGATCTTCTGGGCAATGTAGTGCATGAAAGTCCCTGCAAGAGGACGGATTCTTCCAATGCAGTTTTCAATCAAACTGTTCCCATGACTGTAGGCTTGAGGGGTAGTGGATCTTGTAGCAAGGCCCATACTCAAGCGGGCATTCACAACCATACGCAAGAGCTGTCTCATCGTGGGTTCATTGTCTGACATGAATACCACCTCACTGTGACCCAAAAGTTGAGTAAAGGATAGCAACTCCCTGACCATCAAATCAAACTGATTCTTGTGTCGAACCGGTGTGCAATGCATGTAGCCAGTCTGTGAGCAAACCATCACCAAACAGGTCAATGACTTGACCCTGCCTGCATCTGCACCTTCTGGAACTGCACGTGTGTGGCAAAAGTCAAAAGAAACTGTAGCCACACCAGATCTTTTGGAGCTTCCATCAACTCTTTGGCTATCTTGTCTTGCTCGATGACTCACACAACTTGCGCACCAGTTAGCATACGGCCAGTGAGTTAGGGCATGCTGTTGTTGCTCTTGCTCTGAGGGTGGTACTGCCAATGTAGGAGCTGTTGGAGCACGGTGGGCATCCATCTGGGCATTCTTGGCTGCTGCTGTAACTGTCTCAAGTTCAAGGCGCTTGGCATGGTTCAAAAGCTTTGTAAAACACTTCTGCTTGCTTCCAGAGGTTGACAAGTTGTAAAACGTAAGGGCTGCACGCAAAGCTGCCAAACTGCTGTTTGCTGTGAGCTCCACACCATTGATCAGCAACTTGTCATCTCTCATGGGCTCAACCAAGATGCGGTCTTGGATTTCAACTCCATCAACCTGTTGAGCCTCACCTCCATCAATTTCTACACCTTGGATTTCAACATCCTCTGGAGCAACAACTTCAACATCATCATCCATGCTGCTTGAACCAGCGCCTTGTCCAAGTTGTAGGACATCGTCATCTGCCCATGCAAAACCAAGAACCTTGGGGTCCTTTTCACCATCGCTGATGAAAGTCAAGACGTTCCTTTCACCTTCAAACTCATGAAATGTTGCTGTCATGTCCACCAAGCTTGCAAGAGGTTCACAAAGTTCCAAGACAAACCATTCACCTTTGTCCTTGGCCAAAGTTGTTCGAAAACGCGCACCTGTCATGTTGGGATCCATCAGTGAAGGGTCCTGAAAGTGATCAGAGTAGTGCCTGCCAATCCCTAAGCCAAACTGATCAAGCTGCCAACCAATTGCACCATGTTCCACTGTCGGCAATACTGAGGCCTTCACAGCCCTGACGCAGCTTGCAGGTTCATCCAAAGAAGGAACTGCGGCACCAACCATTCTGATCCAACCTCGAACCATCATTGATTTGTTTTGGAGTTCTATGGGGACCTTGGTTCCAGTTGCAGGGTGACTCAACGCTTGTTCTGTGCCATCAACTCCCCATCCACACTCAAGAAGCTTGCCAAAACAAAGTATTGGTTGAGTAACACCTGTGCTCACCGCACCTTGTTCACGAAAGGTCACTAAGCGACCATTTTCATCCATCAAGGAAATTTCAACAGTGCGTGTGCATGCAACTGGAATCTGTTTTCCCTGAGCATCATGCAGTTTGATCGATGTTGTATTGGAGGGTTCACCTGCTTCTGCAAAACAAATTGGAAACACAGATGCATCAGCTCCTGAGTCCAACAAGATGTTGTGCATTGCGCTGCCATCAGGAATCTCCTCAACGATTGTCCTAACTGAACCAACTGTGAAATCACCATCCAAAGTTTCATCATCACCAATGAAATAGTGAATTGCACGCAAATGTGAACTTGTTGGCATTGGGCTCGAAGTCAAATCAAACAAAAGCGCATGTTGAGGATCTGACACCTCATGAGAAACTTCACCAATGCGTGCAACTTTGTACTGCGTTGACTTGGGTGATGACTGAGGCTGCTGGGGCATCTGAGATTGCTGCTGGCTCTGACCACCTTGTTGAGAAACACTTGTAAGATGGCTCCAATCACCTGTATTGATGGTTGAAGAAGGCGATGAGGAAGGTCCAGCTTGTGCAGATCTGACTGCACTCCAACAGTCTCGAGCATAGTGCCCTGCACCACCACAGTTGTAGCAGTATTTGTCACCACTGCCTTTACCTTTTCCCTTGTTGTCCTGAGGCTGTTTGCCTTTGGACTTGCCGTTCTTGTCCCAAGACTTGGATTTCCCATCTTTGCTCTTTCCCTGATTCTTTCCACCTCCTTTGTTCTTTCCTTTGTTGAAGCCTTTGTCAGACTTCCCTTTTCCCTTTTGGCCCTTTCCTTTCTGATTCCAACCACCACGGCCTTCTACTCGATCAACTTCCATGGGCTTGGCCTCATTGTCGGGGCTACCCATCCATTGGGACCACTTTGCCTGTGCACGATCCCACTTCAAGACCTGTTCACGCAAGTCTGCATACTTTGCATTGTCGGTCAAGGCCATGTTGAGATGGACTTTCAACTGTCCACCAATGCAGCGCAAAAGGATTGCACTGCGCAGCTCATCGTTCAAAGCTGTTCCACTCTTACGGGCCTCCTCATAGGCTTCTTCCAAAAGTAGCAGCTGTGGCAACAACGGCTTTTGCATGGCAAAGGGCTGCCATGAAGTGATGGAACTGAGTAGTGCCAGTCCCCTGTTCTGCACTGGAGGTCGAAGGGCAAGAATGAGCTGTCTCAAGGCTTCAAACCCGTTTCCTGAGGCTGTAGCTTTCACAATAGCCAGGCAACGGTTTCTCATCAAAGAAGCCAATAGTGAATAGAGCTTGTTGCTCCTATTCCGCGTCTCCAAACTTGCAGTATCCATTGGAAGTTCTGCATGTGCATTTGTTGTCAAACTTTTCAGCTCACTTTCATAACCCTCGTCGATCGCCACCAGATATTGGTGTAGTTGCCATTGGTAATCCCTCCAGGATTTTACATCATCCTCTACTGATTTGCCCTCACCAAAAACTGCAGGCTTGTTGAGTAACTTTGACCAGTCAACATTTGCCTTAGGCACGTTCGACTGAGCTGCAGTGATAGGACTCCCTGAGGCTGCAGCAGCTTGAGCAGATGTCACTGCCTGGGCTGCACTCTGAGCTGCTGATGCCGCCTGTTGTGTAGCGGCTGCTATCTGCACAAGGGCCTGTTGAAATGCTTCTGGATCAAAACCTGCTGCCATCAGTGTATGTACTTCCAGCTACCAGCAATGCAACTTGTATATGCGTTGAAAATCCAATAGGTCACAACCAGTCAGAAAAAACGCGTCCAAAGCACCGCACTGAAAATGTCCACCTGTCACACCAGCTAGGTTCAGAGTTGTAAGAAGGCAGAAAAGCAAATGTCGTCCTTGTCCAAGTCTATGCCCTGGGAAAGATCAGTCGCTCCGCTACCATGCAAAGCAGCGGCTGAAACTAACTCACCTTTTTCCACTTGAACCGCAGGGCCTGAGTTTAGGCATGTAATTCACATGATTTTCATGTGTATTCAAAGCTATTGCAAATGTCCAAGACTTCTCGATTTGTGCTGTGTCATCCTGATGCAGGTGGCCATGCAAACATGTGAGTACAACCGGAATTTCTTTGCATGTTTGCAAAGCGAGGGGCCCAAAGCTGATATGCGATTACAGCTGCAATCGTCTCAGCTTCGAAGATGATCTGTTTTTTGTGAAGTTCACCAAGCGCCTCTCTCACGGTCGCACTGGCTTTCAAGGAAAAGAACTGGGTTTCCTGTTGGAGAAAGAATACCCCACCAAGACCGCAGGGCCAAGTGTTGCAGTCCCTCTCATAGCAAGCATCCGTGAAGACAACAATGTTGTGCAAATATGTGCAAATCCAAAGCTTTGATTTCCCGGGGCACGTTCTGCTTCAACAGAGTTGCAAACAAGCTCAGGAAAAAACGATCTTTAGGAAGTAGTTTGAAACGCCTCCCTTCTGCAAGTGCCCTTAGACACCTTTTACCTGTTCTGCCGAACATTGGGCGTCTGCAAATTGCATACGTCCTCAAAGGCGCTGTGCATACTTGCTGCTAAGCACCCCCGATTCCAACACACCAGCCAAATCAGTGCAAAGCTCCTCAACCCTGCTAGTTGTGTTGCAAACAAAGGCATAGCCATCCGCAGGCTTGTCCAGCTCAAATGCAACTCCCAAAGCCTCGCACGCATGAGAAAATGGCACGCACTCTCCTGATTCAGCGAACGCCCAACCCAGCAGCTTGAACAAGGTGGTTGCTGCCAGCTCGTTGTTGCCTGCTAGGCCAGGTTTGCTGTATGAAATAAAATCATCATAAAAAGATGTCCACATGAACCGGCACCCCTTGACGCCGATCCACCAAATGGCCCTTGCGAGCCTGAGAAAGGAGTGTACACTTCGAACAGCTCCAAAGGGTAAAACACAGCTGCGAAAAAACCGAATCTGTCTTCCCAACACCCAAGGCCGTTTAGAAGGAAACCTCCAAGTTACGGAAGCGCGTAATAGAACGTGCTAGAATTAAAAATCAATCTGCAAAAATTTTGCTCACGAAAAATGCAGAAATAACCGAAACAGCCGAATGATCAAATGACGATGCAGCACGGATCACTCTCTTTTTCTTGCATGGTCGGGGGAGCGATCACAAGGTTTGGTTGGTGACTGTCGTGATTTCTTTGGTGTCACCTTTGTCACACATGTCACCTATGACCGGATTATCTCTTGGGAGATCTCAGTCAATTGGTGGATCCATGTGACTCCCCCTGTTTTTGAGGGTGGGTGACTCGAAGAGGAATGTTGGGAGGGTCAGAAACTATGGGAAAATCACAGATTTTTTTTCTGTGTAAACCCACCCACCACATCCCTAGTTTGGGATGTAAAACACAGATGAATAAATCATCAGACATGTCACGTGGAAAAACAAACTGTAAAAACTGCACGAAAAGCGACATGTGAAAACAAACGGGTTTCACAAGATTTGTTTCCACAGTTCAGTTTGTTTCAACTGTTTTTTTGGGGGGGGGTTACCTTTGGACGACCTTGCGCGCTTCGTTCCTACGCTGTGTTGAAAAGACAAGGCTTTCATGGTTCCCATGATTCACCTACGTCTTCCCAGCACCCAAGGTCGTTTAGAAGGAAACCTCCAAGTTACGGAAGCGCGTAATAGAACGTGCCAGAATTAAAAATCAATCTGTAAAAATTCGCTCATGTAAAATGCAGAAATAACCGAAACAGCCAAATGATCAAATGACCATGCAGCACGGATCACTCGCTTTTTCTTGCATGGTCGGGGGAGCGATCACAAGGTTTGGTTGGTGACTGTCGTGATTTCTTTGGTGTCACCCTTGTCACACATATCACCTATGACCGGATTATCTCTTGGGAGATCTCAGTCACTTGGTGGATCCATGTGACTCCCCCGCTGCTTGAGGATCCACTCTAAGTCACTTCCGCTCCAGGTAACCTGGGGAAAGGGTGCTCCATCTAAAATTGAGGTGAAAAGCTCAGCAATCACCACCAAAGTCAAGGTTCCACCTTTGGCATGCTTCCGCTACCTTTCGCCTGGAGGGGAGGTCTGCAGGATTGCAGTAGGATGCAATGCGTTCGTACCATAGGTAGCACGGCATAGCACCTTCCAAGCAAGAGCAGGCGTGAGCCATTCGAAAAAGCGGGTCAGATGGTGACCTCCCCTTAATCAAACAGTACCGACAAGGTTCGTGGTCAATGAAAAGAATTGCGCGTCTCCCATGCAAAAGGTGCCTCGCTTGACATCTAATGCACAGAACTGCATACATCTCGATTTGACAAATAAGCTGTTCTCCCACTAAGCCATGCCAGGCTTCCAGCAAAAAGGAAGGCACCTTGCCAGCGTAGCAGAGCCGAGTCTGGGTGACGGGGTCAAAAAGAATGGCACCCCAGTCTGCTAGATCTTCTCCAAAAGCACCATCGGTATAAATGATTAGGGGTAAGGTTTCATCAGCTGTTGCAACTTTACGCGGCCGAAGCGACTTGAGGACCATCAAGGAATGCTCACACAAATCTGCAAAGGCGGCCGGTCGGAGCTCCAAGCCCGCTGCTAAAGAAGAAAAACCCTGAGCTGCAGGTTGTAAAGCCTTGCCCAATGCAAAGCCCGATGCGAAATTCAAGAGCCCATGCATTGATGCTGCAACTGAACAGGTTACCTTGCCATCCCGCTCTGCTTGTTGGATCAGTCGCTCAATCCTCTGAAGGCGCTCCGGCTTGTTGCCCACTGTAAAGAAGGAGGCATGAAGATTGGCCAATTCATACTCCACGCCCAATGCAGCAAAAGTGGGTGCAAAGGGCTTGGCTTTCTTGCCCGTCACCGCATGCCTCCAGCCCAGGTGCTGGAAGAAACCAGATACCACTTGAGTGGTGTTCTCTGCAGCCATGGCAAACTCCAAGGTGGGGTAGTCATCGTAGAAGTTTGTGGTTACCATCCCAAAGTCTTCCCAGAGTAAAAACTAGAGTGTCCGGGCAGCTTTGTTAAAACTGAAATCACTGGCAGTTGATCCAAAAGGCAATGACTGGCCTATGTAGTAAAGCCATTTGCCACTGCTGTCACGCGCCCCAAGCAAAGAATACTTAAGGCTGGCCTCACTCACCGCAAGCTGCTTACAGGCCTTTGACAAATCGAAGCACCTTCCCAAAAGGGCCTCACCAGACCTGGCAACCCGCGAGAGTTGTCCTTTTTAAGACAGTGCTGTCAGAAAGCGGGATGGAAATATGAGGCCCTTCCCGTAGCAAGTGCATCAATAGGGTTGTCAAAGCAGCCAGGACGCCCACGTCTTGCAACTCCAGATACCACCGCGAAGCAAAAGCCGCGTTGACATGGCTCCTGCGGTAGTCATCTATTATGCGTTCTTTGCCATCTTCTCCTTGCACAAGCAAAAAGCGTTTGGTCAGGGTCCAGCATGGTATGCCCAGTTCCGCCGACACTTCCTCTTCAGTCAGAGGGGCCTTTGAGAAAACACTCGTCTACCTCCTCTTGCGACAACTCAACCAGCCTATCTGCATGCTCACGCTCATGGTCAGCAAGGGGTCGGCCTATTGTAAGCTGTCTGCAACTGAGCTGAGAGATTCAACTGCTCAACGGTCATGGTGGCAGGTTGCAACTTTTCCTTGAAGAGCTCCGAAAACGGCTCCTCCCCTACCAAATCAACCCCCTTCACAAAATGCATGACCTGCATGTCCGGAAATGAATTGGCTTTCAACTTTCAACCGTTCCTCAAAAAGCAAGAGGCGTTTTCCCTTGACAACGCCCTGAACATGAGCTGGCAGCTTTTTGTGCAACTCCGCCTCGGCACCATGCAGGTCTGCTGCCCTATCCCTATAGAGCTTCAACATCTCTAACCTCTCTCTGGCTACCAACGCAGGTTCTTTTGTAACCATGCTGAACAAAGCTTTCTTCAGTTGGTCAGGCAACACAATGGCTGAATCCATTGGGTGAGGGAGTTGCAGCGCCCGTGCAATGTGGGCCTCAAGCTCCATCAAAACCCCTACTTTTTCACCTGTTTCCGCTGACTGCACTCCTGCAGCCACCTCCAGTTCTTCCCCCGCAGTTTTAGGTGGCAGAAGCTTTTCATTGTCTGCCGGCTTTGTCTCTGGTGGGAGCCAATGGAAAGCCACAAAGTCCGGGATCAATTGTTGAAGCGCCCGGTGTTGGCGTCCCGTGCTTGAAGTGTGAGAGCCACTTCGTGTTTTTCCTGATGGATCTCTTGTACACGGCTCACACAAGCATGAGGTGGTATGAAAAGCAAAGCGCCCTCATCCTGCATCGCCACCACTTTGTCGACAAGTTTGTGGGCCGGCTCCAGCTCTGCCGTCCATGTAACACCCACCAGGTCGCCTTTTTGGCGCTCAATCCTGGCCATGCGCTCTGCAAGTGGCATGGACCTGGGTCTGTCATCTGAAGTGCGGTCAATTCTGACCTGCATATCTCAAGCTGCATAAGTTCTTCCCTCAAAGTACAACCTTCTGCATAAGACCATCTCCTGGGGTGTAACCTCACGGCCCAGCAATGCATCTACTGCAGTCTTGATTGGTGCATCGTCGAAGCTATTGTAATCACATTGGCAGCAGAAGGCCCACTGCCCAAAAGTATCCAAGTTGCAGCCTTGAAGTTCCACCAGAAAGCCTTCAGGCACTCCAATGGCACGTGCTCTTGCTTCCCATGCCGCTTTTGATTCCAGTGAAACCATTGCAGCATTGACGACACAAAATTCAAAAAGAAAGTTTCTGAAGCATGACAAGTGAATGTGATTTCAGGAAATGGGTATGACATAGTCTGATGAGTTGTGTGAAGTGGAGTTTCATGTTGACCCTTGACATCTGTTTGGACTGCGACTAGTGCTGCCTCAAACTTGACGCACAAAGATGTTGCGGTGGTCCACAAATTCCAACTCAGCAAAATAAAAGTTTTGGCTTATGACATCTGTTTGGATTGTGACTGATGTCACCTCAAACTTGATGCACCCCGGCCTAATGCAGTTAAACAATCAAAAACTTTCAGTCCTGTATGGTCCTGACCTGTGTTGACTTCTGTTTGGATTGCGACCTTGCCGCCTCAAACTTGATGTCAACCATGACTCAAACGGTGGTGTGGAAAATTATAAAACTGTAAAGGGGGTAATATTAAAATTCTGTTCAATGATATGGCAATACCTGTTTGGCTTGCGGGAGTTCCGCCTCAAACTTGGCTGCCTTCGCAAATCACCCTTTTTCCCCTGGGCTTTGTCACATTGCTGGCAAACCAACAACTGAGAAAGATCTGGATCTCCCTCTTGCCACTGCCGGTAGCTCTGCGACATCTTACGGCCACACCACAAGGTTTGATTGTCCCGCTTAACATGGACTACCAGGGAATCTTTGTGCAACAGCTTTTGCCCAGTCACTGAATCAGCTGGCATCGACTGACACCCCACAAAGCTGCAGCCAGACACGTCCGATTCAGACGCCGCCCACTCGCCAGGCTGGTGATGGATCTCCGGCTGTTCTTGAAATAGATCCTTGTTCTCCTGGAAAATGCGGGCAGCATTGGAATCATCTGGATTGAACTCAAAAATTGCGGATGGCTGTCAACATTCTGAAAACCCTTGAGTGCAGTGCTGTAAGGTTGTCCCGTGAATACGACAGTGGCATCAAGGCATTGGCATCCATATGATGCGTTAACATCCGTCGCTCATCCATTGAGAAACCACCAAACTTGCCAGCCCACGTAGGTATGGTTGCTTTGCAGCTGTGGGTACTGCACTTTGCAGCTTGCACTGGAGTAAGGCCCGAACGTACCAAAACCTCCCTAAGCCACAGGCTTCCGCCGTCGTGATGTGCCGTTTCAAAAATTGCCCTGAAACTTCTGAAAAGGCAGGCATGATAGTCTCAGGTTTCATTGCTTCCAATTGCATTTGCCACTTGATGCGCCACGGATTTGGATGAAGGCACCAACCAATGGCTGTAAAAGGCAGCAGCATCCTACGCCTCTCCATGGTGTTTGTGTTCTTTGCCTCTGAGGTTGCGGCTTCCACCAAAAAGATGTCGTGGCATCTGGAAAATTCTACCTCCCTGATTTTGGTAGCATCTCCAATGCGGCAACTTGAGAAAATGCAAAAGAGAATGAAGTTGGTGAACAGGGAATCTACTTTGCTTTCAGCATGCAACGCATATTCCTCTAGGGCCCGGACTACTTCAGCTGGAAAAGGTGGTACCTGTTTCAAATCCTTTTCCTCATATACATGTCCCTGCAAACTCCAGCGATGCGTGATGTCAAAACCTTTGGATTGAAATCAACGATGTTGGCAGTGGAATGCATGAACCAAATTGCTTTGACCGTTGCATCAGCTAAGGTCGGTGCCGCACCCGTCTCCCTCAAGAAATTCAAGTACTGGTACACCGCACTCTCTGACAATTGCATCGGTTGCAAGCTCATGTACTGATTCATCCACAATGCCATCTTGCAATAATCCAAAGATCGTTTGCCAAGTGTTGCAGTGGCTCTACTTCTGAAAGCACCAGCAAAAACACATGAAATCATGTCTTCACCTGTCAACTGTCCAGACGTGTCCAAGAGTGCCCGACCCTGCTGTGTATGAGATGGTGCAGCCAGAATCAAATCTCTGAGCCGCCGCAGAGCTTTGGCACGTAGCTGGTCCTCCGTCTGAGCCAGCCTGACAGTGAGCAACCTCTTTTGATGGAAAGGTGTCCTGGCAGCTGTCCTTTCAGGAGGTTCGGAGGAGGGCACAAGCCCCTGCAAACTCTCTTGTCGCGCCACTGTAGGCAAGGACAGCCTTCCTGAAAACATCTCTGTATTCAAGGGCATCTTTGGCGTTCCAGCGCGTCGCAGTTTCAACATGCTGAGGAAGAGGCTCTTGCGCCCTTTTCTAAAACCATGTCAGCCGCTGCCCTCTTTCGTCTGGCTCTGCCACAGCTGAGCTTGCACCAAACTGGGGCTCACGGCAACTTCCTGCAGAGCCACGCTGAGAGTCCCCAAAAGGTTCGATTGTGGCTCCAAAAATTCGGTATCACCAGAAAACCCTGAAGCATCGGAGCCTCCAAAGCATCAAAAGCTTCATCATAAGCTTTCCCAAAAGGCACACCTGTATTTGACCTCTATGACATCTTGCTTGAGTGTTCCTCCCTGTCTGCAACCAAGCGCAGTGTGAATTAAAACCCCACATGCAAATGACACTGGTGGCGCCTGTGAGTTGTAGAAGTTCTGACACAAGTGCACGTGCAACAGTGACATTGTTGATGGCAGTGAAATGGCAGCGCCTGGTCTGCCTCTGCAACCTCTGGCACGGAAATTCGAAAGCGTCGGGCAAGCTCAAAGGCGATACTCACCAGTGTTTGAATCAATTGGGTAATTGCGCAAAGCTGATAAAGTCTAGTTTCCCAGATCAAACCCAAGTTCGGAAATCAGAACCTCAAACACCTAAAACGAAGTTTCTCCTTCGACTCCTAAGCACAAGCATCAGCTTCAATCTTTTGCTCGGACGCACACAGGAGTCAGATCCTCAGGACACACCTGCAAGAGAGAAAGAAGAAACTTCAAAAACAAGGTCACGAACAGCGAAGGCGAAAACTGAAAGCTGAATGTTTGTTTGTGATACACAGTTCATCTTGACATCAAGACTCCCTCGAGCCAATGTCAAAAATGGAAACGCAATTCCAGGTTCAAAAATCACGATCTTTCTTAAAAGATCGACGGAACAATTCCACATTGCGTTGATCACAAATTCAGCTGCTACTACAGCATGATCTACTTCCAAAAGTTCTCAAATACTCTTGGTTCTCATCCAAACCTGAATAACCAGAGTTCTTTACACTCAAGAACGAAGTAGATGATTACAACTGTTCTATGCACAGTTGCTCTGGTTCACAAAACTTCCACAAAACT